TTATAATTCATTCTCTTTACTTAAGTTTAATCACCCCTCTCCCAACATCATATGCTTATAGTGATTCTCAGTGAAACTCACTATCCAGAATCGCTGTAATAGCATATTCATGGATTAAATTTTGTATTTATTTCTTGGCAAAGAAGTTTATACATTTTGTAAAATACAAACAGTTGATGACTTTAGATGTTATGCACCATACTCGGAAAATTTTGGTACATTATACATGATCTACGGAAAGTTATGGGTGGGGGTACGTTACTTCTGACGAGCACTGTATTTTTTAGAATCATAATGAAGTACGAGTATATTAGTTTATGAAGCTTGTTTATTAATAAAATGTTTTATGTATAGCTTTTATTCAAACAAATTAATTACATGAGACTTCTATAAATACTCCGGAGTATCTGGAGCAAACCCTGAAATAATGACCTCGGAGTGGGTTAAATTGGATTTACCCCTTGCTCCGCTATAATATGAACCCAATTCAATTCACTACGCTCCATTAACAACCCCATCAAGTGCCATTGTTGTTTTACTGAATCGACACAAGTGTAATGTTCAAACAATAAAGAATTGGGGGTGAGTCAACAGAAACCAAGCAAATTATATATGTAATACATATATAATTTGCTTGGTTTCTGTTGACTCACCCCCAATTGTCTGTTTAGTTATGTGTCGAGTGACGTGCAAACTTGGTATCTCCCTAGGTATTTTACATTCAAAGAAGGAACCTTACAATATAATAATTAATTAAACTTAAAAAAATTATATTATTATAGCGATAGGGAATCAGATTTTCGCAGTCTTTTTATCAACAAGAGGTGATCGGAACGGATATACCGGGAGATTTTTTTAACACCTGTAATACGAAGTTTATTTCAAAAGGTATGGTTGTCTTCTTGTAAGTAATAAATTGTCTATTAAGTGGCGAGGTGTGCTTGTTCGCATCAGTTGAAAGCTACAATTTAAAGAAAGATGATGTAGAAGACAGATATTCTGGACGAAAAATTGACAGCTAGCAGATCTCCTAATTAGCAAATAGAATGAAGATTGGAAAAATAGCGAGTTTACGGTGGTGGCTTGTGGGTTTACAATTAATTATAGGTCATGGAGCAATTGTTTACGATAAATTTGTTCAGAGAAGTCCTACGATCACCAATCGAATCCCCCTTTTTTTTAATTAGTTCCTTTAATTCATAGGAGTTTAAATTTTAAATAATTTGAATGCATATGCATATATAATGGAAGCAGCGATAGCGCTTATTTGTAATCACACCGAAGAAAGAAGAATTTCACATGAATATAATGTCATCTAAATATGTTTAAAAACAAAATAAGGCTTTTTCTTGGTAACGAAAAAATTAACTCTCATTTATACATAATACATGTACATGTAATCGAAAAAAATAAATATGGTGCATCTATCGCTATACTCGTATTCAAGGACCTATTAACGGGAGGGGGTATAGACATCTATGAACGTCATGCATGCGGCCTGAAGGTAAAAAATCCTATACATATAGACATATTGATGTTAATATCGATAGTAAGTTGTTTCAACTATGATACGAAAAGGGATTTCGTACAAAGTTTGTGCTTCCTAAATGGGGATACGCTAAAGCCGAAACACAAACCAATAAGGATGCGTAAATTTTTGATCAACCCGGCAAAACCAATCCGAAGCGCGAACAAAGTATGAAAAATAACGGAAACAGATGCGTAAATCTATCTTGGTATACTAATAAAAAATGTCGGGGAGGCAATTTTATATATTATATTGATCTCAACTCAAACCTGACCCTATCCCTAAGCTGAAAATCAATCTTTAATTATATAGTCTCATGTCACGTGATGTATATGGCTTTAGCCATCCCTAAATGGTAATGAAGAATTTCCACAATACCGATGTATTTTATGGCGTGTTAGCAGTGGATTTCCCGTAATGGCAAATTTCATCAAGTGTAACTAAATATTATGTTCTACAAGAAATCATTTGAGAATAACGCAGCAGCGACAATACCGATATAATGGTGCGAAAGTATATCAAAGACGTTTTAAGATTATACATTATATACATTATATAACTTATATAAATACTGTTCATGTAGTTCAAATACGTATTTGTTAATTGTTTATAAATAGTATTTTTTAGTAAATTTCGATTTTTTTAATTACATGTATCCCAATAAATAAATGACACACTATCGCTATTATTACGTACATGTACACTATTCTGTATACATTTTACTTGTATATAAATGCATATTCCCGAGAAAAATCCAAATTTGTTTTTTTTTTGACTTTTTCGTGAATCATTATTTTCGTCTAATATATAGCAAATAAAAAAAATCAAGATTTTTTAACCGTTTAGCAGATATGAGTGACATCCAAATTATAAATACTGACAGTAATAATAGCTTGACGACAGCAATTGATAACTTGGATTCTAATGAAGATATAAGAGGTTTCTATCGTTATTGCTTATAATTAAATTTTATATATAATTCACGAAGAAAATTATTTGTTTTAGAGATTTCGGCCGCGACAAGTTCAACGAATTTAATTAATTGGGGTACAGTAAGTTTAGCGTGGGAAAATTTATCGTATTCAATAAAAAATCGAAAAATCGTGGAAAATGCTTCTGGAGTTGTTAAACCTGGTGAATGTATGGCAAGTAAGTATTACCGGACGAATTTTATTATACAGCAAAATTCTTAACAATACCGTTCATTCATCGAAATCGAAAATAGTTTTGGGTCCATCAGGAGCTGGTAAATCTACACTACTGGATTTACTGGCAGGAAGAAAAGATCATAAAAACGTTTCAGGTCAAATTTACTTGAATGGAAGACCTGGTCAGATAAAATATGTTTCTACTTATGTTATGCAAGAAGATGCAATAATGGGTGAGTAAATATTTATTTCGTTTCATAACTAAAAAAAAGACTAAAAATTCTTTGTTTTTCACTATTAGAGGTATTGACAGTAAGAGAGAACATACAATTTGCCGCGGACTTATGGTAATTCATTGATCAAGTTGCTTTATTCCTTTTTTGGTTATTCACACCTCCTCCTTTTTCGTGCATCGTGTTACAAATAAATGTTAGTTTTCCTGCCTCGTATTCTGATGCAGAGCGAAGAACACGTGTTCAGGATATTATTACCGAGTTTGGTTTAGATCGAGTTGCTGATTCAAAAATAGGGTCTATGTTTATACGAGGTGTTTCTGGTGGTGAAAAACGTCGTGCTTCTATTGCTACACAAGTTATTACGTTGCCAAAAATCATCTTCCTTGATGAACCAACCACCGGTCTCGATTCTGCTGCGTCATATAACGTGATGAAAGCAATTTTGCAAATGACACAAAAACATAAACTCACAGTTATTGCTAGTATTCATCAACCATCCACAGAAACCTACTCGTTATTCGATAAACTATGTATTCTTGGTCGTGGAAGAACACTTTACCTGGGTGGTCGCGAAGAAGCAATACGATATTTCGAAAATTTAGGCCACAAAGTACCAAACAATTCGAATCCAGCAGATCACTTTCTCGATTTGATTAATTCGGATTTTTTGACGGATAAGGCTGATGCAGAAAAGTATCTTTCCGAATTCGTTAATGGATTTGAAGGTTCGGAAGCGTACGAGGTGATGAAAAGCGAAATAAATAATCTAATCGAGAAGCATAAAGGAGATCGAGATACACGAAAGATTTCATCAAAAACTACAGAAAGATACCAACAAAGTTTCATGCGACAGACATATATATTGATAATACGGTGTTTTAAAAATGCATTAAGAAACATTCTATTGTTTTGGTCTCGAGTGATATTGTACGTTTGTTTGGGTTTACTTATGGGCACAGCTTGGTGGAAAGTTGGATTTCATCAAACAAGTATATTTGAACGACTGACAACTCTATACTTTAGTATAGCATTCTTGTCGTTTATGAGTACAGCTGGAATTCCTGGATTTTTAGAGGAACGGTATTTATTCCAACGCGAGCGAGCAAATAGATTCTACTCTGTCGGACCATATGTACTAGCAAACACCTTGGTATCAATTCCTTTCATATGTATCATCACAATTTCATTTGCATGTGTTATGTATCCAACTGTCGAACTACATAGCGGATTCGATCGGGTCGCAATATTCACCGGAATCTTATTCCTATCTCTACTGGCCGCAGAATCAATGGTCGTTCTTATTGCTTCCATATTTCCACAATTCATTTCCGCATTGTGCATGGCAGCATTCTTCAACGGATTCTGGATGATGAGTGCCGGATATATTGTTCGCCCACCCGATATCCCGGCAGGATGGAAATGGGCGCATTACATGGACTATCAAAAGTATGCGTATGAAGCTATCATTTATAACGATTTATCGGGACTGACTTTCAACTGTGAAAAATTGTCTAACGAAACTGGCGGTGGTATTAAGCAATATAATTGCTATTATGGCGATAAGTCGGGTAGTTCTGCGCAGTTTTCCGGTGAGGATGTGTTACGCGACCTTGGGTATGATTCTGTGAAGATTTGGTTGTGGGCGGTAAGAATTTTTTTATTATGTTTTTTTATCAAAATTGTTCAATTTTCTCTTATAATAATAATATTATTATTAATGCTTTCAGATTATGCTAGTAGTCATCATGATAGTTTGTCGTATACTGTTCTACATAATTCTACGAGTTCGTAGAGCTCCTTCGTAGATCAAATTAAAACCAGACTGAAAAAATTTAACAAATTACATGTAATCATATTAATCACGTGATTTTAGATTTAAGGACCAGATTTGATTTAACGTTAATAAAAATTCCTTTGTATGAAAATTGTGTTTATCATCATCTAAAGTTTCATAAACGCTAGAAATACGTGCTACACTACAGATGAATTGGAAATATATTTTATAGCTATTTGATTAATTGATATAAAAAAGTTTGTTAATACCTGAAAACATGTTTTTTCGTTTAATGTGCTAGAATCGGTTATTAAAAAATTGTGGATCAACATTTTTACGGCCATCAGGCAACAACGTTACCATCATGGAGCAAAACCACAAATGAAATGAGTACGTATAATAACATCTCAAAAGCTGATTACATGGAATCACAGTGAACTCGAACACTACATTTATGTTTACGAGCGAAAATTTTTTCAATTTGAATCAAAAAAAATGTATGGTATATATAGGTTATTTATTGTTTTTAGAGAAATTTCAATTTTTATAATGTTTATTGTTGATTATAAACAAAAATATTTTTTGCACCAAGCTATATCTATTCTATTTGATAAAAATTTTTTCATTTCTTATACTAATTATGTTAGCTTTGAAATTATTTTGAATTAGATAAATCCAAAACGAATAAAATTTTATTTATATTATTATCTATTAAATAGATATTAAATAAAATAAACTAAAAATCTTTATTTAATGATCTAAAAATTATTAAGCCGATTATTTAAAAATTAAAATCTTAATAAAAAGTATTATTATTTATAATTCCATTAAATAGGACTTTATTTTACTTAAATTTTGTTTTGATTGAATATTGAACTTTTTATTAATAGCATAAATACAGTGGGTGCTGGATACAATAACGTGATCGGGGGATGAGATTTGGTTACTCTATCGATATGGTAACATCATATATAAATGTTAGTATAACCAATACAGCCAATGACGCTATAGATGTTACAATCTTGCACTTGACAAATCGCGTCAACTAGTTTCAGAGTGGAGAAAATTCTTTTTTTTGACTTCGAAAATCGCCATATTCTCTGTGTACATTATATATCTGATTCCCTATAATTTACTCCCGATACAGCACCTATATTATTGAAATACTCATTTACTACTTTCTAAGTTGAGATATCAATTAATGTTATAACAAAGATTGAATTAGTTGACAAAAGATTCATGGCAACACATAATTGAAACTCACCTAATCGTATTAATCTTCAGACTACTTAGCAATTCACCATTCCAAGATTTTGGCGACAAAATTGTAAGAAAGTGGATGGAAGAATACAATCATCTTTAATGAAAACATCAAAATAAATATAAAATCACTTGATGCATTAATAATCAAAATTCTATATTGATTCCATGTTTGTATCTAGAATATTAATATTGATCAAAAAAGTCAATAATTTTTGCTTGCTTTTTGGAGTCAAGCACTAATTTATTTATAGATTTTAATATCTTTCTAAATCTAATCACATCCTTCTCTTTTATTTCTTCCTGCTGCTCTAAAAATGCCAAAAAATCCTTCCATACTCCATTCTTATATCTGCACTAAACTTTATGGATTCTTGCTTAATATTTTTCTTGTTGTTAATTGTATTTGTAAGATTTACTTCTTGGGATCTTGTACATATTTAATAATATTTGCAATAATAAATATTTTTAGTTAATTTGTACAAAAATTATTTTTGATTTCAAAATACTCTTGAGTGATCATTAAAATACTAGAATACAGAGATACTACTTGCTCAAGAATGAATTGGATATTGTTATTGCAAAGAAAATTTTAAATATTAATTAATGCAGCCAGACTTGGAGTAAGATATCAGAATAATATTATTTAGAAAAAGTTGTAGATCAGAAAGAATTCCAGTATGATACCAATAATTAGTGATTATAATCTTGCTAACTTCAAAAAAATGGATGCAAACAAAATTATTTTGTTGTAATTCAATAAACAAGAATTGGTAAAAAATAATATAGTATATTTATCTTTGAATATACTTCCTAAAAAATTTTTAGCAAATATACTAATAGAAAAAATACTTGATTGGAATTTGGAATATGCTATAATTGTCAAGAAATAATACTTAAGATTTTATAACAGATTTGAATTATTTGATATGGGATAACTTGATTTATCTTGCAATAGATCAAGTGAAATATTTGAATCAACTTGTGCAGATTAAAGATCCTCTGTTATCTCTGAGATAAAAAAAGTAAAAAATAAGAAAGCAATTGAGTGATTTTTAAAATTATTTATTTCAAGAAAACTTGTAGGATATATGGATTAAGATAGAAAAAAGATTGTGAATTCAATCTATCTGTTGATTATATTTTCACGCTAAAAGATTCACAAAAGATATATATATATTATATAATATAGAAATAAAATTGGAATAAAGCAGGAGATCCAAACCAATAGTTAATTAAATTCACAATAATCTAGAGTATATAAAAGGGAATGTGCATCTTACTTATTTAGAATGTAATCAAAATCATCAAATCTAATTTATTCAATAAGCCAATGCATTAAATAATATGACTTTTTCTAATTATTTTTATTTATTAATTTCATCATTACGTTCCAATCTCAGTATTGAATGATGTTGAGATATAACTGAAAAATATAAAATAATAGAAGCTTTTATTAAATCAAACACAAAAACATGCTTCTATATATGTAAAAGAATAATGCTCGAGTTTAATATATTCTTGAGATATAAATACATTACGTAATTAAATAAAATGATCTGCTAATTACATGTACCATAAAATACAGAGCTCCATTTTTTTAGTGAAACCAATTACGTACGTACGTGTATTTTTCCGCAAATTAAATACGTAAATCAAGATTTACAGTGCAATTTCTTAAAAATTTTAGTTATCATTACTCATTCGTAGTCTTGAGGTTAAAATAAGGTTTAAAGAGAGGATAATTAAATTTGATCCATAAATAGTTTGTAAATTAGGGCTGTGTAGGAAATATGGTTTAAATATCAATTTTATAGCCGAAACTTAGTTTATACTTTATCAAACCAGCTTCAGTATAGTTAAATTTGGCATAGCGATAGTAGAGTAATCACTATAAAGGAATCATGATGCAGATTATTTCGTCATTCTGAACGAGGAATCCCACGTCCTAATGACCACACCACTACATATATTAAATAGAATTTTTTACTACTAATAACGATAAGATAAAATAAAAATATGTATTTTTTAGATTTATTTTATATTTCAGTTCAGGTGACAATTTACAAATAAAAATAATCGTGGTTTCTATAATGTAAATTTTCTCACATAACATAGATTGTGAATGCGTTATATAGTCGAGTTCTTTGATATTGATTGTTTGTTTGATAGGATATATTTGTGCCAAACAAGGAATCTTGAATCATGAAATGCAAAAGGTGTTCTTTTTAATACTTACAAGTTCAATCTTTATTTATATTGTTCTTATTAAAGTCATACAATTAATGAAAATCTAGGGTCTCTCACAATTAACAATCGATGTTCTTACACCATGCCTATTATTTTCCCAAGTTGCCAGATCAATCGATCTCGACACGCTGACGCGTCTGTGGCCACTTGTTGTTTCGTTCTTTTTCTTCATGCTGATGGGTGGAATATTGGGCGTAATCGGAGGGAAGATTCTTCGTTTTTCATGTTCACAGATAAACTTAGTGGTAAATGGAATAATCTTCAACAACATTCAGAGTGTGCCGATTGGTTTGATTCAAAGTATGGCGGCCACGAATGCTATTCAGTTTTTGTTTGAGAATGACAGAGATACCCCGGAGAAAACTGTCGCCAGAGGAATTTCCTATGCACTGTTGAATGCTTTGTTTGCTAATATATTAAGGTATAAATATTACGGTATTATTATTTTTTTTTTGTATAATTAATTAATTAATTTAACAAATTATTGAATAGATTTAGCTTAGGAACTTGGCTATTACAGAAAGGTCACACAGACGAAGTATTAGTTAACGTTGAAGAAGCGAGTCAAACCAATCATACAATAAATTCAATAGCGAACGAGAATACACCATTAATGCGTGGACAAGAAACATTATTATCATCATCAATCTACAAATGGACAGAAAACATCTATTTTTCAATCAAAGAATTCATGAATTTTCCTCTACTATCCGCAATTCTCGCAATCATGATCGGAACAATACCACAATTGAAGCAACTCTTCTTTGAATCTCAATTATTCTATCAATTGATTACTCGGCCAATCGAGTACATTGGCAACATTGCAATCCCAATGACTCTCTTGATTCTTGGATCACAAATGAACAATCTCTCCACCAGTCAAAACCGCGAAGTACTACTTCCAATCTCATTTATCATGCTATGCCGACTCATCGTGATGCCAATAATCGGTATAATATTAGTGATAGCGACGAGGAGCTGGTATTTTGAGGATCCGATGTTGTGGTTTGTGTTGATGGTGTCTGCTAGTGGACCGACAGCTATCAATCTTTTGAATATTGCACAGATGGTTGGTGCGTTTGAACAAGAGATTTCCGCATTGTTGGTGTATTCGTATTTGGCTTTGATACCAATGTTGTCGGTCTATGTGATGATTTTTTTATTTGTAATCAATTGGATTAAATAAATTGTTGTTGCATGAACTCTCGCAAATAAATACATATACGTAATCAAATAAATAAGAATAATTTTCTCGTGTTACGTATTAAGCGCAGATACGATAAGGAAAAATAACACGTGTGAGAAATCATAATGACATGTCATGTACATATATTACTAATAGAATCCATAGCGATAGGTCCGATAGCACAGCCTTCCCTCTCTCTCTATAGTCGCATTATTTTCAATGAATTTTATAGTGCCAGCTCCATCAAGAAAAGTATATGTATAACGATAACTGTATTACGATATACGTATACCTTTGAACTTTAGAAGGAAACCTGTGACTCGTTAAACCGGAACAATGTGAGAAAAATTTCCAATTATAAATTTCTGCATAATATTGATATACAGTAACTCAATAAGCCTATTTCGATAACGGTAAGGAATTTCTTCTGTTGCCGCTGATTCTAACGATTGCTGCATTTATCTAATTGTTTATTCCTATCGCTATTCCATCAATTAAAGCATCCAAATAAAAAATCTGTTTTCAGTAAAATCAAGTTTTTTTCGGAATCAATATTTCCCCACTTTTTCAAATATCGAAGATTCACACGATCGAAAATATTTCCGTCTATACACAAATATAACGGTCATGCATTCACAGCTCTTTTTTGACATGAATGAATGAGTTAACTTACGTATTACTTCACATGATGACGATAGATCAAAGTAAATCTGTGCCATAACAATGGAAAATACGTGAGACGGATAAGATTTCAACCGAAAGTTTTCTGGTTAGTGTTAAAGATGCTTTACATGTATAATTATTCTTTTTTTAGCATGTAACGTTAAGTCAGATCCGGTGAGATATTTGTTTTAAAATAGCTGCTCTCTGAATATATAAATAGCCCACAGCGATAGCTGTTCCAAAATCAAATGCAAGTGATAGTTGCCTTTTTAAAAGCAATTATAAAAATAAGCAAGTTGCAATCAAAGTAATAACGATAATAATGGAATACATAGCACAACATCGTAACTCCGAAGCATCTAATCCAGAGATTCAAATTGCCTCCGGAGACACGCAGCCTACCATAATAATCGATGAATCGGAGAGTACAGGTGCTTCTGGAAATGAAATTAGGTTGAAAATTGATGGTATGAACAGTACATGTATATATAAAATTTACCGATACAGTCAAACCCTTCTGTAGTCACTTGTTTATAATCACACCTCCCTATAGTCACCCAATTTGACTTTCCCGACTATCGCTATCGCTATTGCTATTAAGTGACTATAATTTTTATAGTCACACCTCTCTATATCACCTAAGGGTGGTGTTTGATTGTGCACAAATTTTGTAATTTAAAATAAATATTTATTTGTACATTTTTTTGAATCAAAAGAATTTTACCTTCAAGAAAAGAATCCGAGCTTTACCAGTTCAAATAATGACAATAATAGTGTGAGCCTTGCATGGCGAAACTTGTCGTATACAGTGATGAATTCAAAGACGAAACAAAAAACGAATATCGTTCAGGATGTTAGCGGAGTTGTTAAACCAGGCGAAGTGATGGCTAGTAAGTAGACTGACTGATAGTCACATCTATTATCGTTATGACAAACAATCTTATTGGATTTCTTATTCGATTTAGTAATGGGACCTTCAGGATCCGGTAAATCCACTCTACTCGATTTATTAGCAGGTCGTAAAGAGCCTAAATTAACATCAGGAGAAATATATTTAAACGGAAGACCTGGACAAGTGAAATACGTTTCGACATACGTTATGCAAGAAGATGCTTTGATGGGTACTATTCTGTAAATTAACAAGTTTCTTTTTCGTCGTAACGAATACTAATTTTTCGTAATCTAAATTTGGATAGGTGTATTGACTGTACGTGAAAATATTCAATTCGCCGCCGATTTATGGTAAATTAATTTCCAATCCCAATGATTTGCATCTTGTAAAGAATTTGCAATTAACTTAAAACTTTTATTTCAGTTTTCCTTCTTCGTATTCTGCTAAAGAACGAAAAGCACGTGTTCGAGCTATTATAACCGAGTTCGGACTAGATCGAGTTGCCGATTCGAAAATTGGAACGGTTTTTGTACGAGGAGTATCAGGTGGTGAAAAACGTAGAGCATCCATTGCTACCCAAGTTCTTACCTTACCAAAAATTATTTTTCTTGATGAACCGACAAGTGGTCTCGATTCCGCTGCGTCATATAACGTGATGAAAGCGATTGTCCAAATGGCACGGAATTATAAGCTTACCGTGATTGCCAGTATTCATCAACCATCCACCGAAACTTATTCATTATTCGATAAACTATGCATTCTTGGTCGTGGACGAACACTTTACATGGGTAAACGCGAAAAAGCAATAGCTTATTTCCAAGAGTTAGGTCACGTCGTACCTCCATACTCGAATCCAGCAGATCATTTTCTATACTTGATTAATTCGGACTTTATGACAGATAAGACTCGAGCGGAAGAATATATCACCAATTTCATCGTCTCATTTGAAAAGTCAGATGCCAACAAACTACTACAGGAAGAGATTAAATCATTGATTGAACGACATAAAGAAGATACGGATACTCGAATTATATCCTCAAGTACAACCACCAGATATCAACTTAGTTTCTTTAAACAAACTTCAATTTTACTGAAGCGTTCTTTTATTAATTCTATGAGAAACATTTTGGTGTTTTGGGTGCGCGTGATACTGTATGTTGCACTTGGACTACTAATAGGAACAACATATTGGAGAATCGGGTATGATCAAATAAACATCATGGAACGTTTTTCTGGGGAATATTTTTCGGTCGCGTTTTTATCATTTATGAGTATCGCTGGTATTCCAGGGTTTTTGGAAGAGCGACTAGTGTTTCAGCGAGAACGAGGAAATGGATTCTACTCTGTTGGTCCATTTGTATTAGCGAATACAATCATATCATTCCCCTTCATATTTATTATCTCTCTTTCATTTACGGCTGTAATTTATCCGACTGTCGGTTTACACAACGGTGGAAAACACGTTATACTATTTGTCGTATACTTATTTCTTTGTTTGAATGTTGCCGAAGGAATGGTCGTCTTTATCGCCTCCTTGGTTCCGATATTCATTGCCTCGCTTGCATTAACTGCTTTCGCTAACGGGTTTTGGATGGTTTTCGGCGGCTACCTCGTTCGACCTCATAGTATTGCCAAAGGATGGAAATGGGCACATTATATCGATTACCAGAAATACGCGTTCGAGGCAATCCTTTCTAACGATCTGAAAGGACTAGATTTCAATTGTGAGAGGTTAACTGACCCTTCACCGGATCGGATGTATAATTGTTATTACGGGGATAAGTCTGGGAGGTCAGCGACTTTTCCTGGTGAAGCTGTGTTGGAGGAGCTTGGGTATACGAACATTAGACCTGCTTTGTGGGCGGTGAGTTATTTTTTGTTGAATGTGGATTTTTGTTATTATGCATTTTAATAACATCTTTGATTTTTTTAGGTTATTCTTATTGCAATGACTTTTGTTTTTAGATTAGCATTTTTTGCAGTTTTACGATTTAAAAAAAATCATAATTAATCATTCGTGTAATTATTTTTTTTATTTTATGTTTATACATATCGATATACATGTAATTATTTTTTACTAAATCAAAGCAATAAAATAAAAAAAATCGGGAAATTTCTTTACGTATAATCATTATTACAAATAATAGAATTATAATTTCGGCGGCGTAATCTCTCCATACTATCATGTAAAGAGAAAGATCTTGAATCTCTTGGGAATTCACAGAAATTGATACAACTAATTTCTTGTATGGAAGGTTTCAATCCCATCCCATCGTAATTATTTGGTTGTTCACATGTCCGAATGCGTAGTAACTATTCAAAGATTTATCTTTAGTAGCAACTTTACTTTTCCATTTACGATTAATTAGTCGATTATATTATTGTTTTCAAAGCCACAGGGCGAGGTTTGTTACATGCTAAATATTTCCAACGTGGCAATTCTTAAATTCGTGATAATTAATAACCAAAAAACATGTCATCTATAAATAATATACCTTTTTAAAATGCCATATGTATAGTAACTTTCAGTTTCGGTTCGTTATTTTCTATGAAAATTCATAATTTTTACGTTTTGTGACGTGATAATAAAATAATCATCCAAGGTTAATAGAACAAATAAGAAAGATGCATTGTATTGTGTAGAAAATTTAAACTATGGTTTAGTCCAGATTTTTAAAACAAATTATTTTCTACAAAATAAACATAATGTTTAGTTAACAATAGCGATAGCCTTGTGGTTAAATTAGAGTTTAAATTTCCACAGGGAGGGTTTATGCGACAAAGTATTGAGCAATTTGTTGTTTGCAGTGTATTACGTAGTATTAATGGTTTTGTTCTTTGGTGATGTGTGCCATCAATGGTCTGCTTATGGTGGACGTTTCATACAAACTTGTTTTGAATTGCTCTAATTTTACCATGAGTAGATTTTAAGATCTTTCTCTTCAAATAATAGTGGTGGTGGTGTGCTATGATTGCTGATACTGAGAAACATTGGTAATAATAACATCGAAATTTAAATTTACTAGTACATGTATATTACATATTACAAATCATCTATGTAAAAAGATCAAACGAAGAAAAAATAACTAATTTATTGTATAGGACAATCTCACTTTTTTTTTGCTTTATTGCCTTATTGTTGTGGCTAGAATCCATTTTATCGTATATTAAGATTCTAATATGAAAATATCTAAAGTACATGTGATTCTCTTTCACTCATTCATATATCGGGGTGAAAATAAAACTTAAAAGTCATACGCATGCAAATTATCCGGTGATATTGACCGTATAGGCGGTTTTGTCAACCATGAATGCCGATCATGTGATGTGGATATTCGTGATGTAGAAGTAATGTTGCTTATGCCTGAATATGCACTAGGTGGAAACTGTGGTGACGGTAATGATGATATTTTATCGTCATCCATTTCATCGTTTATGTCATCTTCGACATCGTTTTCATTAGAATCTTTCGACAAATTATTCTCGGAATGTATCGTCGCTAATATCGATGAAATGTTATGATTGCTATGATTATTAAAACTATTGCTAAAAGTCCGAGGAACAGGTAGCAGTGATGGCGGTAAGTTAAGAGCTGAAGGAAATATTGGATGTGGTTGCTCCGATGATAATCTCACAGATTTCTGACTCTTACTACTTGTTCCACCTCCATTGCTGTTAGTTCCATTAACATTCATCATTCCGACGAAAGCGGTAGATGAAACTCGGTGTATTTGTTTATCCCTGTTTGAAGTACATGTAGCACTTCTATTATTATTTCTATTATTTATATTATTATCATCATTGATGCTACTACTGCCATTGCCATCGCAATCGCAATCGCCGTTGCCATTGCAATCGCAATCGCCATTGTCGTTGTCATTGCCATTGCTATTGCCATTGCTATTTTCATTATCAGCGTTATTATTTGCGTCTTTTCGAGTTGGATCCTTTATTATTTCTAGTTGATTAGCCACGATTGGTATATTATTTAATACTTTTGGCGCTGAAGTATATTCTAACACTGAAGCTTTTTTTTTGCGTAAACTCCATAATAAAGACCAAATACTCCGATACTGCTCATTCGCGTAATTTCCGGTAGCAAACACCAAAAAAATGAGACAATGCACGATTAATTCCAATAAGAGTTTTAGCCGAGTAATGAAATCACTATTATCATCGTCTTGAAAATACCCGATAAATCCCATAATACTCATCGGTAAATCAAGACAAGAAACGATAAAACACCAGATGTACATTCGACCAGCGATAGTACGAGTCATTATTTTCTCGTTTGCTGCTGTTGAATCGCTGCTTAAAGAGTACCCTTGTTGTTGAATGTTATTATTACTACCGTAATTACCATATTTTTTTTGCATGGTTGGGTTGGTATCATTGGAGGTGATGGAAGAAGAAAATCCGTATTCCAATCTTGGCGTTATAATATTTGGAGTTTGTGCTAGTGTTTGTTGTCCGGTTGTTGGGGTAAATGAAGAACGTGTTGGTTGTTTCAAATGTCGTGTTTCAAATAATTTTATAGCGAATGGAATAATCGCCATGACTTGGAGATTTAATAATTGTTAATATTTCTAATATAAATAAATGAATTAAATAGATTGATATAGGATAGTAACTTACAGGATAACACAAATGCCGGAAAAATAGGCAGATTTACTGGTAAAATTCTAACCAAAAATATCGTCCATTGATTATTTGCAACGTGTGTTCTCACTTGACACACATCGACACTCTCTATCGTATCAAAAGCAAACGATGACGATTCTCCTCTGCTCAACAACGTCACCACCAAAATATTCAACAATACCAAAAAATAGGGAACGATTAAACACAACACTCGAAACACCCATTTCAACCTCTTTCCCGCTTCCTTTCCCTTCACCAGAGTCATATATAAATCAATCGACAATGCTAAAGAAACTGTGAAATTTGATGTTTGTTGCGAAGACAGAATCGATCCACTTATTCCACATAATACTTTTTGTAAGATTGTAAAATTATCTATATCCCGGTATTCGTTACCGGCTGTAGCAATAGCAGCGAGAATTATCGAGAAACTGAATAGTTGACCGGTCACGCCGAGACATATTAGAATAAATGCGTGACGTTTGTATTGAATGTATGTGGTCGCGCTACTTAGCAAAAATACGACTGTGGTGAATAGCAAGAACCAGATTTGCATGTCAAAATTCACACTTTTCTTTGTCGGTTTTTTGTGTTATGTTAACTTGTTCTTGTTGATTTAGCAATTGTCAAAGCGTCATATATACGAGTTAAAATTGAAATAATAACAAACAAAAAAGCAACAAAGATAATAAAATCACAAAAGAAGTTTTTATACAAAATCTTTATCAGTATTACCGTTACAGGCACACAGAGCGCACATCAAACTTTAATTGCCGCACTTTTATTTGTACTCGATGACTCGAGAATTGAACTCGAGCGTATAACATAAATTACAGAGTTAGTAAAGATTCCGACTTACTTGATAATACCCAATTGATGCTCATTATGCGGAATTAATAATGTCATACTTTGGAAGCGGTATGATTGGTATTCCGATGCATTTAATGAAATGCACTGTCAAGAATTTTTAGCTATACGTACGTGATTATGTATCGGTATGTCGTGCATACATGTACATGTATTTTTCCTCCATGTTAGCGTTAGTATTGCACATATTAAAAAAGGAAATCTTATACGTTCGTACGTATTCTAATATTTAACGCTACACAGCAATTACATATGTACATGTATTCGATTTAAATTTTACATAAAAACTAGTGATGCAACCTTAAAAGACTAAATATTTCGCCCTTAAATTACGGAATAAGAATTATGAAGGTGACAGGCAAAAGAATAACTCTTCTTAAGAATATGGGCCAAGGGCAATGTAAATTGTAGAATTTATAATACAATTTTCACCGTTTCTATTGCACTCAGCCCATATATTGACTGTAATCATATTGCGGTTTTAATATTAGTTGTTTTTGCATATTTCTATTCTTTGCAACAAATGTCCCCTAAATTTCGCATATATTGAGTAAACCGACGAATTATTTAGCACTTACTGTTATCCGCATTGCTTACGTGCTTTCATCCAAAACGAATCAAACTTCCCAAATCACAGTTCCTTGTATCAATGAAGTCTCGCACTCTCAAAAATAAGAAGCACGTGAAGTCTTCTTACGCAAAAGGTGCCAATTCTTAACACAGTCCAGACAAAAATTCAGGAATGGAAATCTGAGAGAGAATTCAAATTTACAGAGTCACAATTGAAGAATCGACACAATCAACCTTCAGACAAAGAGAACGTGAGCAAAGCTAGGTATTGCAGAGAGATATTATATCAAGAACATGCCTTAAAGCAAGTCCAAGACGGTCCACTGTTTCAAATGCAATACCCAGCATACCTACTCATCCCTTTGAATCCTCCAAGTCACAAACATTCTTCCTGCCCATAATGCTAATTTGTTCGGATGGCGCAGTTAGGAGGACATGCTTGTCGTAGAGATGTGACTGATAAATATCGATCCTGGTGGTAAGATAAAAACAATTAAGCATGGATAAACTATAAACCTTGGGTCCTCATTCAGGTAAACCATACATATGAATCTTGTGCCAAATGTCATTAATTCCATTCCATAACTTGCATTCTTTTCAGCAATATTGCATCCAAACTTCTCCTGTCTTTCTCCAAATCCCACAAACATTCACCGACCATAAATGCCAACCTATCTACACCGGATGATCAAAAAATCACTTCCAGTATCCGCAAAGGATACAATGGAGGTATCTCTCGGTCAAGGATATTTATAGAGGTACAGTGGGTCATCATAAAGATCTGACCACTTACAAACTATTATACGACACTCGAAAACAGGATTGTAAACAAATAATAACGTTTAAATATTAGCTTCTGACACATGATATCCATTTGCAAGCAATAACCATGGCAATCCGATCGGATACACTATAAATAAACTTTCGATAGTATTCGAGTGCAAGATCATTCCAAGCCACTTTCACGTATTGTTCGAGTTCTGTGAGAAAAGATGGTGCAGGGAATCGTTGGCGTCTTTCACTTTATGTCATAGATTTTCTATGGGGTCCAAATCGGGACTTTGTGAACGTCTTGATTCCAGAAGCATCGCGAGCGGCTGTTGCAACCTTTGACCTATGTGGTGTTGCATTATCTTCCTGAAAAATACCATCATCGCATGGGAAAAACTTGTGTAGGGTAGGATCCTTTCTATTTTGACTAAAAACAGTTACCACAAAATGCAAAATAATTCTGGCCGGACCTTTTTGATTCCAATGAAATTTATTTCGAACACTGTATAACTTTGAAATCTATGTAGCAAGACCAAATTAGAATGCAATAATAGGTAAAATTTTTCTTTCAAAGAATATTTTCAAGTACAACTGCACCAAAAATCATAACGATAAATACAACACAAAAACAAATTATATAATAAATATCGGCAAAGATTATTCATGTTTGTTATTCTTGGAAAGAAAGTTGTGGTCTATTACAGTCATACTTCCTATAATTACTCTTGGGACCAAAACAGTGTAATTTTAAAGAGGTTGTGACTGTATGGAGGTCAAATAGTGGCAGGAAAATTCCTCGATCACGTGATCACGGAAAATTAACTTTAAAGGATATTTTATCGTTCGGGTTAGGGTATGGGTTAAAGTGGAGGACAAAAATTATATGTAAAATTGTCTTCCCAACATTTTTTATTAATGATTTAAGCCAGATTTTAATATCTGTTTTCCGTATTTTTACATTATTCACTTTTTGTGTCAGGTTTGTTTTGCCGGGTTGATAAAAAATTTACTCATTCTTATTGGTTTGCGCCACTCGGAAGAACGTTCTTATTGGATTACGCCACATAACGCTCACATGATCGAGGAATTTTTCTGCCACAACTAGTCTACTAGAGGTCAAATTTATGCTTCACAATAGGAACCCGAAAAAATTTGATTTCATTTTTTTAGGTAATATCAAAAATTTGGTTTTTTATTTTGGCCAGCATTAAGAATTAAGCTATAATTCAAACCAAAGCACGTGACAACTTGGAATTCTAATATATACATGTATTGGAATAACGATAGCCAATCAGATCAATCGAACAATCGAGTTATAAATAAATTCGATCACAAATACGTACATGTATTTGCTGCTCACCATAACGATAATAATTCTTTAAATAACAAAATGACAACCTTTTCGATAATAATATTCAAAAGTGTCGCAATGATAATTAGAACCTATTTTGTAGTTATGGCATTACAATCGCCGACTCAAATTAACAAAGAAATATTACGAAAAGAAGGAGTCTTACTGCTTTATTTACCTCTGCTTGGACAGACATGTGTAATTTTCTCAGCATCTCTATACATATATTTCCTAATTCACTATTACTATAACAACATCATCAACAAGACTACACCTAAAAATAATAATCTATTAAGAATAACATCGTTTGATGTTATATTCTATCTACTCTCAATATTTGGCGCAATCTGGCGTATCAAATGCTTTAAAACCCTAGAAGAGTTTTTCACCTATCATCTCACAATTCACAAAGAGCACCGACTCATCACAACCGGACCATATAAGAATCTACGCCATCCCTCATATTCTGCAGCAATTCTGATGGTTATAGGCGAGTGGTATTTGGTTTTCGTGTTATATGATACGATCCCGGATTCGTGGTGGTTGTCTATAGGGTTGAAAAAAGGAATGATTTTTGGTGTTGTCTGTTTCGTTTCGTATTTGTTGGTGTGGTTTTGGTTTAGAATTAAAAGGGAAGAAGAAATGCTAAAGAAAAAGTTTGGAAAGGATTGGGACGAGTATGCGAGCACGAGGAAACGACTTATTCCTTTTGTTTTTTAATCATTATTATTTTACTATTATTACCATCGTATTTGTTTTCAATTTAATATTTTTATTTGAAATCAATTTTTCATTATACACATAAAGTCCGGCTTATCGTTCGAGAAAATGAACCTCGTTATACATTATACAGAAAATTATTGTCAAACTGGACGTTCTTATAATGCACCATTGCTCGTTGAAGCGGATTTACTGTGTAATATTTTTCAATATCAACAAATTTACAGAGTCATAAAATGATTAGTAGAGTGTGGGTAATGCTGTTGAAATCAATATATTTCAATTACTTTTAAGCTTCGGGAATGATCATTCTATACATATCTGTTTTTTTTCAAATCACAAAAGAAACCGGTTATATGACGTTAACGAGGACAAAAATGATAGCGTGACTATTCTATAATTTCCTTTTTGAATCTATGCTTATTTTCCCGTGAGCGAATAGCACTAATGAGAATTAGCACTAAATTCAAAAAAGATAAAATTCAGTTTTATAAGTCAGCTTACATAAAATAAACTTTTCATATGTTTTGGACAATGATTCATGCAAACTGTATATTGAAAATATCACCTTGAAGTTTGCTGGTGAAATGCAAGCAAGAACATGATTTTTGTCGTATAATTTTATCTTGTGGAATAAAGCTACAAGAGATTGCCGGTTTGCATTATCCTTTTGGATCAGCATTGTACCCTTCGAGCTTTATGTACATGTACTCAAGTGTACTAGTATTTCTTTTATGGCTTGGGGAGTGGTTACAGAAATTCCTTTAGGAAAAGTATTAAAAAAATACTCAATATAAAACTTTATAAGTCCAATCTCCAGTTAAGAGCTATATTTATATCGAAAATGGGGGATTGAACAACCCTTAACGGGACCAAGATAAACTGTTAATTCAATAGTATATACAAGAAAAAGCTGAACAATATAATGAAACGGATTTTTATTAGAAAAACGAAGTTATTAATTAGCTGTAAGATGAAATTGGCTAAGAATATTTTATTATTTTCATTCCATAAATAGCACCAAAGTGAGATATTTCGGAAAATTGTCAATCGTGCATTATTTGAATCAATCAAATCTTGAAAAATTCTACGGATATAATATTTTGATCAAGATTTATTCACTATATTCCCACACTTTATATGCCTATAAATCTACAAAATTATAGGCTTTAATGTAAAACACATAAATTATGAGATCAAGTGACTCGCACTATAGTTTGACGAGCATCTTTCTATACTTAGAGTGCTGACATATATTAGCTAGAGGTGCCCCTCTCCCACTCCCAGATAAGATCTTTTACCCAATCAAAATGCTTAATTTTGTACTACTTAAGATCGAGCTCTATCCCCACCCATCCCCTAAATATTAGCTAATAAATATCACTGCCCTTATTGTAAGTTTCTCTTTAAGTCACCATACTTTCTCACTGAGAGGTCAAAAAGATAGTGTTTCTGTTTTTAATAGTAAATTTGCACCATTTATATCGCACTCACTCTATTTGTGTATTTTTTACCTTTCAAAATATTAATAAGTTTAAATTATCATGCACGCAGCTTGGGGACGTAAAGACTAACAAAATGTTAAAGCATATATATCTACTAAGAAATAATTAACACAAATTCACTTTATTTTTGACTATTGTGAGCTCAGTCTGCCTGAGAAAATAAAATATCAATACTCAAGACCACAATGTTCGTAGAAGGATATTTATGAAGAGAGATTTCTTACAAATACGTCTTGATGGTATGCATTCTAATAACAAAGGTTTTTATTCATTAACAAAAGCTGTAACAGATCAAATCTGGGAGAGAAAAACCAGTCCAGTGTGGATAAAGCAATTCAAATTGGAGTGTTATCAATAAGGCATTTGTAACAAATGTAGATAGCAAACATTTGGGATTAGTCCAGTGAATTTTTTAATTGCATAAAGTTATCACAAATCACCATTTTAACTGAGGTCAAATTGAATTGATTATCCTGCACAGCAATATTGAAAATAATATCCAAGTTACAATTAAATTGACAGAAAATTGTGATGAAATTTACAGTGGGTCATCATAAAGATCCGACCACTTACAAACTATTAAATACGACACTCAAAAACAGGATGTAAACAAATAATAAATAAAAATAACGTTTAAATATTAGCTTCTGACACTAAGTTTTACTAGCGCTAATATTAATGCTTTGTATGATACCCATTTGCAAGCAATAACCGTCGCAATCCGATTGGGCACACTATAAATAAACTTTCGATAGTATTCGAGTGCAAGATCATTCCAAGCCATTTTCACGTATTGTTCGAGTTCTGCGAGAATAGATGGTGCAGGGAATCGTTGGCGAACAGCGTCTTTTCATTTCATGTCATAAATTTTCTATGGGGTTCAAATCAGGATTTTGTGGATGTCTTGATTCCAGGAGCCTTGCGAGCGGCTGTTTCAACCTTTGACCTATGTGAGGTTGCATTGTCCTCCTGAAATTACCACCCTAACATGGGAAGAACTTGTGTAGGGTAGGATCATTTAAAAAATAGTTACCATAAAATGCAAAAATAATTATCACCGGACCTTTTTGTACAATGAGTTAATAGCCTTGACAGTAAATGTATTGACAGTTGGCAACACCCAGTGAACAAAAAGCGTGAAGGAAACTTTAATCTCATCACCAAGTTGATTGAGGATGTGAAAAAGTATCCTTGATATGGATTGGACACACGCAGAATACCAGTTGTTCCAAATAAAAATATTTTAGTGTGCGGAAAACACCACCATTATTGTTAATCATTTTAGATTAAATGCACAATATTCAAATACATTTTAGTTTATGCATTTTTCAAGAAATAGGATAGGAGTAAATAATAAATTTTCTGTGTTCATTGTCATAAAAGTGAGTGTGATTGAGCAATATTATCAACAGTTTTGCTTTAATATTAATTGAATATATAATATTTTTATTTTCTAAATACTATTTGAAACTTCCAACTATTCAGAGCAAGATTATAATTGAGGAATGAGGTGCGAGAAAAGATCACAATATTGTTATTGACTATGAGCAAAGGAATTCTATTATTTCCTAATCAAAATTTATTGAAACTTGCAAATATTTTGAATAAATCCCCTGTAAAAAAATTGTCGTTTTTTTTATCCAGTATTTATATTCTAGAATATCTAAGATTTTTTGGACAAATTCTAGAGCTTTGCTGGGTCTAGCTAAAAACTTTTCCAGGTTTTTGTTAAATCCGGATTTATGTTTCGGATGTATGTTGAATCCGGATTCATGTTTCCGATCTAGTGGAAAATATTTTATCTATTGGTTTATTTCGTCTAGTCACAAACACCGTAACTGCTGTGAATAAGCACCGCTTTTTGAGTTCTAAAAAACGAAGTGGTACTCACTTCTGGACATTTTCTCGCAATTTAAAATTATCGCCATCTTAGATATATTTTGTAATTTAAATTTAGTGGTGCATATTCACTGTTGTTCATTGTTTTACTACTTTTGGATTGAAATAGGGTGGTGCTTATTCACGGTAAATTTTCAAATTACATATAAACTCATGTGATTTAACGTGTCAAATTTGTATTTTATTTTTTTGATATTGTAAATTTGCTAAAATAGCTCTTCCAATATGCTGAGAAAGAAAGTCATTAAAAGAAAGTCATTAAAAGAAAGATATGTGAGGAAAAATTAACTGAGGATCGCTTACAAAACTACTCGAGATTTACAACGAAGGAATCTCTCTTTCACTTGTACCAAATTTATTACTTATTTTTAAAATTTTTGGCAACTTCAAAATTTAATAAGTTAAACAAGTAAATTAAAATTTCATAAAGCTTTCATTGTTTTATAACATATATTTTAAATTTCAAAAATGAAAAAATGAAAAATTTTTCTTTATACAAAGCTGAATTTATACAAAGCTGAATTTATATAAATAAAAAGTAAAAATAACGCATTAAATTTGTTATAAATAGGCAGAAAATCTAACAAAATCCAGAAATTTATTCAGAAAATCTTAAATATTCTAAAATATAAATATTACAAGTATCTGAATAAAAATAACAAGTTTTGTTGAAATTATATTGTATATAATTTGGTTAGTATTAAAAATTAGTAATAATTCAAGACAAAAATTGTAGTAAAATAATTTCAGATATAAAAATAAAAATTAGTTTTATTATAAAAAAAATAGTAAATTCAATAAATAACTACTTTTATAGTTGATAAATAAATTTATTCACTCACTTAAAAAAGATTTACTAGGTAAAATTATTAAAATTATATTATAAATTATATATATTATTATAATAATAATATAAATTTTCTTAATTTATAAAATATTATGAAAATTTAAAAATATTAAAAAATGATAATTATGACAAATTAATTCAATATTTTATTTTATTTTTTATTAATATTTTATTTAATATTTTATTTTTTATTTAATATTTTATTTTTTTTTAATATTTTATCTAATATTTTATCTAATATTTTATTTTTTTTATTTTTAATATTTTATTTTGATCTTTTTGAATAGTTATTTTACTAATAGATAACTCTCTTATTAAAATTTGTATTTTCAAAAAATATATAATAAAATACATAATACAAATGCTATTTGAATCTTAACTTGATATATTGTGAATAAAAAATAAAAATTCTCTCATAACAAAATCTTTTTTCAAATAATATTTATCTCTTTTATTTTTAATTATATATATTAAAGTTTATATATAAGTAATTTTGAATTATACTGTGCTGAACAAAATACTGTTATTGAATTTATAAGCTTTGTATTATATTGTCAAACAAAATATTGTTATTAAATTTATGAGCTTTGTATCATATTATATCAAACAAAATATTATTATTGAATTTATTGATTTTGATTAAGTGTTTTAATTTTAATTTTATTATTATTATTTTTAATTTTGATTTTTTATTTATAAGAACAAAACAAAAAAGTTTTTGTTGTTATTATTATTAATTATATTATCTTAGCTTTGAAAAACTTTATGCAAGTATAATAAATTGTATTTTAAATTCTCTGTTATTTATTCACTTAATATTTTATATTTCTTTTTTTTCTCTTTGACTTTTACTCTTTTATAACTTCATTGTATTATTATTATATCTTTAAATTATTATAATTTCTATAAAAATTGGTATAAAACTTAGATATTTCTTTTTTCTTTAATATTTTATTTATTATTTAATTCTCTTTCTTAATTCAAATTCAAGTTTGCAAGTTAATTTAATAATTAATAAATATTTTGGTGCTTTCTTTATAAAATTTAAACTCTCTCTCTTAATTTTTAAAATACTTTTCACAATTAACAAGTATAATATTATCTGCTATTAATGTGAACACTTTAATATATGCAAAAATTTGGTCAGTATCAACTATCAACAGAGCAATAACTTGTAATATTGTTACAATTTTAATGAATTATTAGCTTTGAACTTTATTCAATATTGAATATATAACTTCACCAAAATGATAATAATATAATAAGAACAATAATATATTTATTTAAAATTCACCAAATATCTTTTTCAGACTCAAAGAATATTTCTATCAAATTGTTCACAGGATTTATCTAGTATATATACAACAAAAATGTGGTTAAAAAGATAAAAATGTCATCCAGTAAAATTTACAATTCACTTCACATTTTGTTCAATATCTCAATCCAGATAAAACTAAATCTCACCATAATTGAATCACTAAATCTAGAAGATTATATCTATCTTTTGAGAAATTGATAAGACAGTTGTTGAGAATGATCCTGTCAAAGTTCATGAATGGAGAACAGCCAGTTGATTTAAAATGATCTATAGCAAAATTTCATCACACAAAGTTTTCAAACATTTCAAAAATCATTCAGCCAACAATTAGAAGATCCTAAGAAGCTAATTTCAACACTGAAACAATCGTTCACAACATTTTCACATTAAATATAACAGTAGTAATTCATCAAAATTCATCAGCTATATAAAAGGCTACTTTTTAGAATTGTGAGGTTCAGAAGAGACAACTCACAGAAACAACATTATAATTTAATGATCATCTATTGTTAAAAGACAATTACATGTATGATGTCCAAAAAGCACAAGAAATCCGGTGGAACTATAATAAAATCACAATATCCAATGGAAGAAGATTAAAGTTATTATAGATCAATTTGAAAAACAAGAAATCGAAATTTTCCTGGGAAATTCCACTACGTATGCGTTATCGTTATAGAATCACATTAAAAGGATAAAATTCATAATCCCGTGCAACCATAAATTGGTGAATCTTTCAAAAAAGGGATTCTTTATTAGACTGTCGATACAGCTTTCAAATAGATGAAGGTGAAAATAATACACATTTTTTGATGTATTAAAAGACGCAGAGTGTATCGTTTATAAAGAGTGGGGTTGAAGAAGAGTCGTAACTAAATGACATGCATAAAAGGAAAATACCGTATGACGAACAGACTTATCGTTATATTAAATTATCTTTTATTTTTATTTGCAACTACATGTATTTATTTTATTCCAATATAAAAGTACGTATCGGTATATACGTACTGATACAGTATAACGATAACACAAAACGCAGTAATGTCATTTTGTTACTTGCTTGATCGTTTACTATTAATCTAACATTAGCGTTAGTATCACGTTAACGTTAATATGTATAAAATAAAGTAACTGCTATTTTCTTCCAATACAGCACAGTATTTTTCTTTTGATATTTCAATATTTTGTTGGAGGTGCTTCGTTTTGTAAGACACTCTATACCTCTTCATCTATCTCGTTGATTTCATCTTGAATTTGTAGTTTTTGTTGCAGGACACTCGATATCTCTTCATCCTCTTTGATTTCATGTGGTATACTCAAATCGAAATCGCTTGGAACAAACAAACTGACACTTGTCAACCCTAAACATTCGACATGAATTTAATTAATATAAATGTTATATTTTAAAAGTAGCTGTGTCAGTTGGAATTGAAATTAATTTTGATGTAAACATTCGACTGGTGTAAACTGCGTTTGAGTGGATTTGTTTTTTGCTCGTATGCGTAGCAATGTTCTTTTTTAATTTCATCTCCTTATCAAGTTCATCTAATTTCTGCTTTTCTAGTTTAAGACACTCTTTAATTTCTTCACGTGTCTTAGAAGAATCTAAGGAGCTGTAGTACTGAAAATGCAAATTATTCGGTTCTCTATTATATCTATAGGTAGAGTAGATAAAGTCTAGAAGTTCCTCAGCAATTGGTCTGTTTTCTGGAATAGAATCCCAAGATTTTTCAATAATAAATTTGCACCATCCTGGAACATTATTTGCTATCGTAGGTCGTACTCCGTTATAGATGTCTAATACGAGATCATTACTATGACTCCGCTCACCGAATGGTCGTTCACCTGTGACAACCTCACGTAATCATCCCCGAACTATAAATATCTGGAGCTTTCGTGTATGGTTTTCCATTTAGTACCTCTGGACTCATATAAGGAAGTACTCCGCAAATTTGTGGATCAGACTGTTCTATATCTGCTGGTTTAGTAAGTCCAAAATCAGCAATATGAGGAATAATTATGTATTAGTATATTTCCAGGATGAAAGTCACGATGCACAAATTCCTGTCCGTGAATTTCTTTCCAATTCAATGTATGGTGGTTGGAAATCATATATCGATATTTGCGTAGATCGCCATCTTTTGCATAATCCATTACTATCGAGTATTCATTTGTCGCTGGGTTTTTAATTATTCCATAATATTCAATACCACCGGTGCACTTTAAAGCTGTCAGAATCTAATTTTAAAAAAGTTAATTAGATTGAAAAACCAAAAGCAATATGCTTACACTTGAAGGTGTTCATTTTACCTCGTTTATAAACTCGGATGTAATTTGCTTTGAATTGTGCAATGATTTCAACACAACTTCCCTTTTTCCATGTCGCTCGAATTTATTTTCTTTATGATCCCACTTGTAGATTGGTCCGTCCAACCAGGATGCTTTAGAAATTGATCCAAAACCACCTTTTGCAAGATATTCAACACTGGTAAATTTTTCAAAAGGGATCCATTCAAATACTTTATCGTTATATTTTTTAATTTATTACATTCATTTATTAGACTGTCGATATCTTTATTTCCACTAGACCATTCGACATAAATTCGTTTGTGATATCGAAAACATCCATCACAGTGCTCATTATTTTGACATTTGGTACATTTACTACAATCATGAGCATTGTGAACTGAACGCTCATCGCAGTAACCCCGTTGACAATCGAAACAGTTCTTACTACAATCATGGATATTGTGAACTGAACACGTTTTGCAGTATCCCCAGTATCGACAATAGAAGCATTTACTACAATCATGACATCTTTGAGTTGAATAGTGCTGATGGCTGTGATTTATGTAAAAAACGAAGATTTATATGTGGTGGAGTGGAAGTCGTCGTCGTTCACATGTGTTTGTCAAACGATTGATGCATGAAAAATGATACGACCCACAAGGTGCATGAAATGAAGAAGGGTAAACGGGAATTACAACACTTCAAAATCACGTAATTTGTATAGAATATCAGTTGATAACTATCGGTTAATGACTATACTATACGCATATGTGCGTATAGTATAGTTCAGCCCATCACTAGGTACTGTATCGAAAACCCCAACCTGAAGTGTTACATCTTCAGTCGCAAGTACGTATTTGGAAGACGTGATCAAATATCATCTTAAAAAGAAGGTTGGTTTCGTATTCCACTTGACCTACCGAAGTTACAATTTATCAACACTATGACATTTTTCGCAAAGTGTTTAATCTTAGAGCTTCGTTTTTACGACAGTAAAAGCCTTACAATTACAAGCTCGAATTTTACTTTATGGTATGAAAAAGCTTGACCTTAATAAATTGGTTAAAATCAAAAACGTGACTTTTAGTATGCTAAACAGTTATAATTTATTACCGTTATTTATTCATCAATACAAAATAAAAATGTATGACTACCATAAAATTGATACATTATCCCAGAGAGCATTGAATTAATGTCAATTATAATTGCCAAAATGGTTACATTTTATATGAATGTTCAGAATAACAAGATACTAACGCTAAGTTAAAACTCATAAAGATCAAGAATTAGTCTATTCGGTAAGGTAATCAAATTTCGTTTCAAAAATCTCTTCAGTAAGCTTATTCCAAGCAGTAGCTTTTATTTCTTCGTCAGCGAACGTCAAACTGAACTCTATAGGTCTAATTAATCCAAGATTCTTAATACCTAAACTATATAATGAAAATTGAACTAATCAATATATTAATTACGAGATTTAATATACGGTTAATTTAGATGATTTTACTTTACGGTCATGCATCCAATTTCTTCCATTCCGGGTTCATCACAAAATCTCGCATCAAGTTTTTTAGTTGCTAACACTCGAAAACGAACTGACGTTTGAATTGCGTGGAATGGAACATATATTCCGCAAAATTTTTGATCTGGTGATGCTTCAGTACCTCGTTTTGCTAGCGCGTCGAATTTCTGAATATGACCATTGAATAGTTTACGTTTTTTTGGGTCAACTCCTTTTTTCCACAATACATAGACTTCTATTCCATACGTCCATGTAAGTCTTCGCGATTTAACAATTTTTTTGTTTAACCCCTAGACATAATGGTATATATAAATAATATAGTCTATGAATATAGACCATTTTTTCTTTCAAATACTCACATATTGAACGGCACCCTTAAGAATGGTAGTAATGGGTTTTTGCGGCACAGCAATTACATGAACATCTCGACTAAATGTTTTTTTGACACGTGAAACAAGATAAGGATTCTCGGCAAATCCTCCTACCATAAATATAGCCGAACATTTTTGTTCTCCACTTGCATTTAATTGATTTCGCACTAATCGAATAATCTTTTCAACAACTGGATCAAACATTGACGTTACATCACTGAATTGCAATTCAATAATCCATTCGTCTTCTTCCATTTGTTCTCGTCTTTCGTCATCCACGTAACTCATTAATTGAGGGCAAATTCTTTGAATGTCAAACTCAATCGGTTCAAAAGTCGAAACATTGCCCGCGAATTCATCTTTTACTTCTGGGCAAAAAAATTTATGAATTAAAAGTTGAACGAGACCGTAATGGTTTTCCTTGAATTCTTGCACAGCTTTATGGCCTAAACGGCGTCCTAAGAATAAGATGAATTCATTATCAACGAATGTGCTACCACAAAGATCACCAGTTCGTTCTGTCACTTCGCCAAGTTGATTTTCAGGAAGAAGTGTTCGAGTAGTCAAGTCTACTGTGCCACCACCACAATCACAGACCATGAACGAATCTAAATAAGAAAACTGTTGAACTCACGTGATCGAAAATTATTCACATGAACAAAGATTTCAAGACATTTACCACCAACTTTTAACTCGTGCTCTTTTAAGATTGACATGCAGAATATCGCCGCAGCTTCAGCTAAAAAGCAACATTTTAACCATATTTTCAAAACTAAAAGACGACCAAAAATCCTTTGAGATTTACTCACGTTCAGATATAAATTCTAAATTATCTGAATATTTCTCCGTCAAGAAACCAGCCTTATAAATACATTCTCGTAAAATTCCTCTAGTTTTAGGCGCCTTGTTGCATATAATTCATAAAATTTTAAGTTTATCAACTTAATAAAATAGATTGAATATAATGTGCTTACCCATTCGGCAGGCACTGAGAAGACAAATCTGATTTTCGGCAACGTTAAACTAGGCCACCGATTTAATAATGTTTCAAGCATAAACTAAATAATTGTAACATTTGAAAGTTCAATTAACGTGCAATTGTTTTTTTTTCGATATATTTTTACCTTTTGCATTTTATTAAGAAAGTCAGTAATTGCAGTTTTATAATTCAGTCCTCTAGGCAGATACGGTTTACTTTCCTCGTCGATATCAGCTAAATGTAGTTTGAACAACTCGACTGGACGAGAATTGACACTTGCTTTTTTTCTTCTTGATTGTGCTTTTACTAGTGCCGGAAATCCCCAGTTAATAGCTTTCCAATTGTTGTCATATTCGAGAACAGTATTAGTCTTTGATGCGGTATGTCCGGGAAATAACGAATGAACCGCAGTGTCATGATTTTCAGTGTGCGAATAGGCAAAACCTAAAGATATTTGATAAAAGAATATTTTATTTATTCATAAAAACGAATTGGTTTCTTTTGCAATAAATATAAATACCACTGCAAGTTGTGCCAAAGTCAATAGCCACAACTACACGAAAATCTTTGACACTCATGTTGCATAAAGTTTTGTAGTTGCAAAGGAATAAATAACAAGACTTTGCACGAACGAGCCAAGCTTTAAAACAGAGCCACAAGTAACAAAACTTGTGGACCCGGATCAAAATCAGGAGTTCTATAACGATAATTATGTTATTGTACTCAGCATATTGTCGTCTATTAACGTTAAAAAAGTCAGTGAATTCATCCTAAACAGGAAACGGTTAGGTTTTTTATACAAAACAAAAGAGATACAAGTATACATCATGTGCTTTATGCAAATACAAACAATGAGGAGCATACGATAATATGTTTGACATCTGAATTTTATCAGCGTCAGTGCTACAATTTACGTTAACAATCTTTAGGTTTTTTAACAAATGAAAATGCATGTTAATGAAGAAACAAATAGTAAAATGAGTTTGCAACAACAGCAAATTCATCAGCGACCTCAAGAAAATCAGCAGCAACCTCAAGGATATCAACAACTTCAACCAAATCAACAACAGGCTAATAATACTAATAGCAATTTATCCGCTGAAAAAATACACGAATTTCTGTATCTATGTGAGGCGCCATTTGGTCTTGCAGTTTTGAAATTTCTCTTAGTTTGCATTGCCGAACCAATCGTTAGTCCACAAAGGAATTTAATTAATGAAGAATGTAATGATGTGTTTCAAGCCATCGACAAATTTACTGATCAAAATATTCAACATATTTGTACCGAATTAATGAATGACTTTCAATCATGGTACTCTTCATCGCAAGCTGAATTGCCACATCAGCTGTTAGAAAAGATTTTCCAAATGCTTTTGTTGAATAGTACACAAGGCTATCGATTAATATCTAATTTAAGTCAATATACGGTTGGAGAGCGGTTGAGTATACGTTCAATTATCTACAATATACTAAAAGGAATGAGTGATTTTGTCAGTGGAAGTCAATCGGAACTTTTTAAAAGAGCAGAAAATGAACAACGTATCAGAAATCTGGAAAGAGATAATCAAAAACTCCTTAAGGAGCTAGAACAACTTAAACTTCATCAAGATGAACTCCTGAATTCTCGTCACGAAGTCGAAAAAATGAATGAACTAGAAAAACAAGGATTAATCGATCAATGTAATTCGGAAAAACAAGGATTAATCGATCAATTTAATTCGGAAAAGCAAGAATTAATCGATCAATTTAATTCGGAAAAGCAAGAGCACAAAAATGAATTACAAAATTTACGACGTGACAACATACAAGAATTAGAAAAAGAACGCCAAACCCATTATGCAAACCTTGAAAATTTGCATACGGAAGATTTGTTGAAGGAAGAACAAATTGACGACTTAACTCGCAAACATGAAGCAGCTGTCAAAGAAGCATCAAAACTTCAAGTAGCTCTTGGCAGCATACGAAATGTTCAATGGAACGAAGACGACCCAAACAATCCTTTGCAACTGATCCAAGAAATTAAAAGAATACAGAAATTATTGATGGATGTGACTAAAGTCAAAGGAAGACAGATACAAATCAACAAGGCAACAGCGAATGATCTTTTCAACGAATATAAAATTCAAACTAATGACATAAAAATGGTTTTGAGTTTTTCACTTCAACGCTTTATTTTTGAGAAGGTTCATAGATTTATAGAAGGCCTTGCTTCGTACAACAAAAATGTTAATGATAACAATCTTGAATCTGGGATTGTCTTCGCCACGGAAGATTTGTTATACTTAATGGAAAACTTTGTAGAAACGCGCTCAGGTGATGACGATATTACACGAATCACACCAATCAAGGTTCGTCAACACGTATATGCTTCGCTAGGATCACGTGGCTTCAATAATTCTAGTCATCCAATTGTTCTCGCAATCACTAACGAACTTTTAGAAGAGATGGACAAATATCGCGAAATGCTGTCGGAAGAACGTAAAAATCGCCTGAACGATCAACTTGCCAAACTCGTAATTGAACTTATTCGTTTTTTATTTCGATTGAATACGCAAGAACCGTTACCTGAAGTCAAATGGGTTGAAGAGGGTAAAAAAATTCGTAATGAATTAATGCAAGGCCCCTGGGACTTTGAAGATAGCGATGATTTGGTGGTAAATTTCTGTTATTTTCCAGCAATCGGAACAAATCTTGGTGACAAAAAAAATCTACGTATTTATTGTAAAGCTCAAGTTTTGCCAAAACCTCAAAGTCGTTCAAAAGTAATTGCTAAAACAAAAAATGTACTTGAAGTTGTTAGTGGGACAGTCAGTAGTGTAGTAAAAACTGTATTTAGTTAAGAAACGATTCTTGATTTTTTGCGAGTATACCACATCACTATTATAGAGCAAACAGTACTGTGATTATCAAAAAAATAAGTTCATATCGATATAATTTTTATTGTCGTTACGTGATAAAAATGTTGGGCATATGAACAACTTGTTTGCAATATGCAAGATAAATGCACTGCAAGAGTTTTGGTGATGCGTGTGTCATCAACCGTCTGGCCTTTCCATGCAAGAAGTTCGATTGCTGTGATCGTCGATTTATTGTTTCACCAATTTCTGACTACATGAGTAGATTCTTTAAATGATAATACGTGAGTGTGCGTTGGGGCTGACTTCAACTCTAAAGGATTTAAAAACATACTCATGTAAAAATCCGCAATTTGTAAATTCGTAAGTGATAATTAATGAATGATTTAGAAAGGTTCTTGTTCAAAATTTTTTGATAAGTAATTTGCAACAAATTCTTTTAAATTAATTTAAAAACACCCGTTTTTTCGCAATCAATATTTCAATCAAGCGTCGCAAATAATGATAAAGACATTTTGACTTTTTTAAAATTTATTTTTAAGTGCTTTAGTATACTTTAATAATTTGAAGATATATAGCTTTACTTTCTTACCTTTGAAATCACAAAAATAAAAAAAGCATTTGTAACGCGTCTTTGAATTCCGCTTTGCATATTCCCTCCTCATCATTTTCTCAGCCGAGTCTTTTGCTTACCGGCACAAAAATAGTAAACAATAAATTGCAAAATGATCATTAACTCCCTGGACTTTATTATTAATCTTTTTAATTCTTTTTCTTTTAATTGCAAAGTTATCTTTTAAAAATGCATTACGAAGAAGACTCGAATGAAAATGCAAATTTGCAGCAAAACCAAAGTAGAAAAAATAATGTTCCAAAATCAGCTGCTAAACCTAAAGTACCTTTAACATATAGTCCCGTCGTAAATAAAAAATACGAAGTTTTCAAGTGGTTAACAGTTACGACATTCGATTCTGATATCTTAAAAATCCTTTTAGTATCCATTGCGGAACCAATCAGTAGCCAACAGCGACACTTGATAAAGACGAATGGCATGACGTGATGGCTACCATTAATCACTTCGATAGAATCGGAATAACAAGGACGCAGCAATACTGTACTGATTTAATGAATGGATACCGCGAATGGCATAAATCATCTGAAGATACTATTCCAAAACAAATAGTAGAAAAGATTTTTATCCCTTTTAATATTTCTCATGATAAAGGTCAACAATTAATATCAATTTTGAGAAATATGTCAATTGAAGAGCGATCGAGTGTGCGGTCGATTATTTATCATAAACTAAAAGGGATGACAGATTTTTTTGGCGGAAATCAATCTGAATTATCTAGACGCATGACGATGATCCAACGCATCAATACTGCAGAAAAAGAAAATGCCAAACTCAATAACGAGTTAAAAAAGCTCAAAGGAAAATATGAAATCGAAGTTTGCAATTTCAAAAATGAAATATCATGATGCATTTGAGTTTGAAAAGCAAAAATTCACAAATGACGAAAAACAAAAAATTATCATACAATTCAAATCAGAAATCGAGTCTCAAAAACAACATCATCATTCACAAGTGCAAAATCTCAAATCCAAGTATGAAGCAGAATTATATGAATCACGTGAGAAAATTCAAAAACTAGAAGAGGAATTAGACACCCTAACACATGAAACCAAATCTGCGAAAGAAGAAACGTCACGATTGCAAAATCTCAAAGCCGAATATGAAACAGCATTACAAGAATCACGTGGAAAAATTCAAGAATTAGAGGAGGAGCGGAAAATCACTGATGAAAAATACGAAAACGAGGTAATCAATCTCTTACAATCTTTAAATGAAACTGAGAAAAAATATCAAGACGCATTGGAGTTTGAAAAGCGAAAATTCACAAATGATTTCAAATCTGAAAAACAAAAAATCATTACAGATTTCAACTCAAAATTTGAGTCTGAAAAACAAAGATTTATCAATAATTATAAAGAAAAATTGCAAAAACTGAACGAGCAAGCGCAAAATCTCAAATTCAAGCATGAAACAGAGTTACAAGAATCACGTGGGAGAATTCAAGTACTAAAAGAAGAACTTAAAATCACCAAAGAGAAATATGAAACCGAAGTATTCAAACGGACTAATCTCTTACGATCCTTAAATGAAACTGAGAAAATATATCAAGATGCTTTGGAGTTTGATAAGCAAAAATCCACAAATGATTTTGAGTCTGAAAAACAAAAAATAATCATGGAGTTTAACTCTGAAAAACAAAATATTATTGGTAATTATAAAGAACCAAGTATGAAACGGAATTACAAAATTCACGTGAGAGAATTCAAGAATTAGAAGAGGAACGGAAAATCACTTTGTCGGCATTAAAAAATTTACAATACGAAGATAACCTAACGCATGAAACCAAATCTGCGAAAAAAGAAACGTCACGATTGCAATCGGCACTTGATGTTCAATGGAATAACGACGATATAAGTAATCCATTGCAACTAACTAAAGATATTGACAAAATACAAGCTTTATTGAACAATGTAACAAAAGTGAAACCAAAAACCCTAATACGTATCAACGAATCAACTAGCAAAGGTCTTTTTAACGGATTCCACATTCAAAATATTATGGAGGAAAGAACCTACAAAATAGCATTGAGTTGTGCTTTACAGCGTATAATCATTGATGAAATCATTGATGTTATTGCAGATTTGCCTTCCACTATCGACAGCGCAGCTCCAATTCATGATGGAAATCTCGAAGCATTTATTTGCTACCACTTGGATAAATTAGTTTTTTTAATGGATAATTTAGCCGACAATCGTTCCGGTGACGATGAAACCACAATTATCGCACCAACAAAAATTCGGCAACAAGTATTCGCTTCGTTAGGGTCACGTGGTTACAGCAAACCCAATCATCCGATAATTGATTGGCTCACGAGAGAATTACTAAAGAAAATGGATAACTATCGCGAAGTACTTTCCGAGGAACGAAAAAAGCTTTTAAATGATCAAGTTGCTGAGGTTGTAGTTGAACTAATACGTTTACGTTTTCGATTACATGCTCAAGACCCAATACCTGATATCCGATGGGTTGAAAGTGGAAAGAGTATCTGTGGCGGGTTTATGCAGGGACCTTGGGATATAGAAGATAGTCAGAATGTCGTGGTGGATTTTTGTTATTTTCCCGCGATAGGTACAGATCTTGACGATGATACAAATCGATGTGTTTATTGTAAAGCTCAAGTTTTAGTCAGACCAAAAAAAAGCATGGATAAATTTTCTTATCGTTATGCATGTAAGTAACGTTAACAACACAGATAATATTAGCCATCGCTTTATTCCTATTTTTATAGTTTAATATTGAAATGGAGAGTATTTTTGGAATAAATAAAAATGTGATTTCATGTCATATAAAATCTAAATAAGCTGTTATGTATTACAGAATATATTTTTTATGTAATTGTTATTTTATTTCAATAAAAATCAACCGCCATTACGTTCTTACTTTCTAATAAAGTTTTTTGTGAAATTATTCCAAACATTTTTAAGAGCTCCGCGTTGTTCATGTTGGTCACGTTGGTCGTGTTGCTTGATTCTTGTTAAAACCTGAGCTTTGAAATATACTTTTCGATTCTGAGGATCATCCAAGAATGTGCCAATGACAGGAAAATAGCACAAATCGACTTCTAATTCCTCGTTATCTTCAACTTCGGCTCCTTGCATTAGACCAACATGAATTGGCTCGCCAGCCTTAAACCATCTTATTTCGGGTACCGGTTCTTGAGTATCGATTCGAAAACGAAGTTGCATTAAGTCAAGTACAAGCTCATCGACTCGTGTTTGCATTTCTTCATTCATTTCTTGAGGCAGTTTTCGACATTGATTAAGTTGATTGATTATACAGTTACTGTAATGTTTGATCGTAGGATGCTGTTCTTGTCTTTGAAAGCCGCGTGCACCTAAGGCAGCATAAACCTGTTGACGTATTTTGATTGGTGTAACACGTGTAAAATCATCTTCTCCAATTCGATGTGTTGAAAGTTTTTCTGTAAGCATGCATAGATCTTGGATGTATACTACAATAAATTGTTCAGTATATTCATCCTTATGCATATTATCAAATTTATAATTTTTAGCAATATTTTCGATATCTCTGAAAATTCTCCAAACTATAAAACGTTGAAGAGCACAACTCAACGCCATTTTTCCATTATCGTCAGAAATTTTTGTCCTGCTATAACTCTTATAAAGGAGGTCGTTTGCCTGGTTTGGCATAATTTCGATTTTTTTCCCTTTTATTTTGACCGCATCACTAACATCGGCTTGAATTCTTTCGATATCTTTTACAAGTTGAAAAGAATTATTCGCGTCATTTTCTCCTAGTTGAACATTTGTTACATTACCAAGAGCCGATTGATACTGTTTAATCTGTTTACGAAGCCTATTAATCTCTTCATCCTTTTCCTGGACTTCTTGAAGAATCGTGTCGAATTGTTGACGAAACGAGTCATATTTGACTTGATATTCCTTTATATCGTCGATTAATTCTTCTTTGCTTAATTTATTTAAGTCTTCCATGCTCAGTTTATTTTCATGCGCTTCAACTGTGGTGGTGTTATCATTTTTTTCGTAATTTTCGTAAGTCGCTTGGTTCTCTGATGAAAAGTTATCACTTGAATTTTTATGTTTAGAAGTTTGCTCGATCTGATTACGAAGATTGTTTACTTCTCTCTCTTTTTCTTGAATTTGTTTCCGCATCGTATCGCATTCTTGTTTAAGTGAGTCATTTGTGGCAGTAAGCAAGTTAATCTGATTCATAAATTCAAATTCTCGCGTTAGCGAAGTTTCTTCTTGCAAGTTAGCGTTAGAATTTACATTGTTTTTATCGTATCGTATACATGTATTTTCTTGTGTTTGCAGATCTTTGACTGATTTCTTTTGTTTCGAATTGCTAGTATTATCTCGCGGCGTCTTGATTTCTTCTAATTGCTTAAGTGAATCTTCGTGAGTCTGACATTTTTCCTCTAAATTTTTACATTTTGCTTCCAATTCCGCGATTTTCTCGTCTTTTTTGGAACGATGCCATAATTCAGAATAACCTCCATTATTAAAATCGATCATCCCTTTAAATTTTTGGAACGTAATGGTACGAAAGGCAGATAACTCATATATTTTTAGCTTAAATAAATTTTCGAGTATAGATTCTTGTATTTTGAGTATTAATTCAATTCTCCTCAATAAATTTTCTGGCTTCTTTTTATCACTTCGCCGCCATTCAGAATATTCGTCAATTATGCTAATTGCTGTTTCCTTAGCGCCTGGCTCAAAACCAATTTTGGATTCATTTATAATTTGTCGAAGTTCCGCACACTCTTTTTCTATTCCTACTTGCTCGTAACCGTTTCTCGTTGCCGTAATACAGATATAAATGTATTTTAATAACTCATATTTATAGTCGGATGCACCGAAAAAGTAATCGATGAGTTCTTTTTTTTGTGTATCGGAAATATCGTTTGGTGGTTTTCGAGTTGCATTTTGTTGGGAAACTCCTTTACCAGTAGTGGTTTTCGCATTTTTTGCGGGTTGAACGGGTTGGCTCATTTTTTTCTTAATTTTTCATAAAAAATTAAAACGAATAACGATAAGCGTCATATAACGATTCAAACATCCAAAACAAACCTTTTTTTATTTTGATTTGCATATACATGTACCGATCGATACAGTAACAATACTAATACGAATCTTGTCTTAAAAGCCTGTTTTACGGTAGGGCTAACATAAACTCGGAAATTGCGTAACGGTAAATAAAAAGAGCACATACTACGTATGTACTGTATTCCTGTTTTTTCTGGTTTCACCAAATTCGACATTGACAGCATGACCTTGGGATTAACGTTGCGAGTTTTGTCATATCAATATCGATATCGTTATACATATAGGCTTATTTTCATATTTCTTTCGACGTTTTTTAAAATATCAAACATTCAAAATGTTTAAAAAAATGGTTTCCGATAAAGTATCTGATAAATTATTCGAGGTTGATTTTAACGCTGTTGTCGCTGTTGACTTTGGAACTACGTGCAGTGGTAAATATAATGAATAATGAAGTTTGAATAGTTGATAAAGAAAATTGAATCTCATTTTAAATACATTTATTTAGGATTTGCGTTTTCCCATCGTGTCAAGCCGGACATCCAAGTGAACACCAATTTCCCTGGGCAAGTAGTCCAAAAAACGAACACAGTATTACAATATGATAATACATGGCAAGTTGAGGCGTGGGGATACCCTGCTCTTGCTAAAGAACCCAGAAGAAGGAGAAAAGTTGTGGAAGAGAAACGACCGGTTGAGTTGTTTAAGTTGTATTTAGCAAATATCAAGAAAAAACCGGAACTTCCTGAAGGATTGGATTATAAGAAAACAATCACTGATTATCTTCATCAGATGCAAATTGTATTTATAAAGTTTCCTTTAATAAATATTTTTTTTGCTCTAATGAATTTATTTGAAATTTTTATTGCAGTTGATTATGGAAACTATAAATCGACGTTGGCCTAAGCTCTCGCTTTCAGAAATACGATTTGTATTCACTATTCCAGCTGGATGGGTAAATATTCGTATTTTTGTTGTGATCAGATATTGAAGATTTCAATGCACTTTTTTCGTTATAATAATAGGGAGATCATACTAAAGAAATTATGCGCGAATGCATTTTCGAGGCTGGATATATCAGTAGCAGATATTCCTATAACTTGGAATTTGCTAAAGAACGCGAGTTTTATTTTTTTCTTTACTTTAGATGGTCTTTACTTTAAATATTCAAACTGTCTAATTATTATAAATAATAATTAGCCGAGGCAGCTGCAATTTATTGCTTAAATATTCTAAAATCGCATGGGTTAGAAATCGGAGGTAAGTTATTTTTTGAAACATCTCTTTCCCAGAAATATGTATTTAAAAAAATGTAACGTTGTAGACACGTTCTTGGTATGCGATTGTGGAGGTGGAACGGTCGATTTAACGATGCGCACCTACGTAGGAGAAGACGAACTCGAAGAAGAAACTGAGCGTACAATGGGAATCTGCGGCAGCACATATATCGATAAGGAATTCATAAAATTCCTGGAAAATCGCGTAGGCCCTGGCGCGATGAGAGAATTCAAAGAAAAACATTACGGGCAGCTTCAATACATGATTCAAAATTTCTTCAATCTTCGCGTAAAAAATAATTTTAAAGATGATCCCGCGAAATTCAAGCTTGCTGAATTCGATATCGAACAATATTGTCCTAAGTTAAAGCAATACGTGTCCGAAGCAATTCAGAAAAAATTGGATGAAAATGATTGGATCATTGAATTGCAATACAATGATGTGAAAGCGATGTTTGATCCGATTGTCGATAAAATACTCAAATTGATACAGAACCAATTAAATGTGAATCCTGATCTCAGATGCTCGGCGATTTTTGTGGTTGGGGGATTCGCCGAAAGCCCCTACCTGATTTCGAAAATTCGGAAAACTTTTGATGGATTTGTTCGTACTATCGCTGTACCTACGAATCCGATAACATCTGTTATGAAGGGTGCAGTTCAATATGTAAGACACAAATTAAAATTCTTTGACTTAATGAATTCTTCTCATTACTTTGTTATTTTAATTTTCTAATAGGGATTGAACAAAGAAGCTGTGAAACTACGTGTTTTGACAGAAGCTTATGGGATTGAAGTCACCAATCTCTTTAAAAAAGGAATAGATCCAATTAAACGAAAAACCGCGGATGGACATATTTTGAAATTTAGTCGTTTGGCGAAACGAGGTGACAAAGCAGCGCCGGATTATGAATTCGCCTCAACATTTTATCCCGTTTATCCGGACCAGACGCACATCTCGTTCAAGGTCTATAACACGAAAGACAATAACGCGCATTATTGCGATGATGCGAAATACATCGGAAGCTTGAGAATCGAGTATGAAATTTAACCTTTTATATTTAGTTAAAAAATTTTCTATTTATTTTGTTTAAATTACATTTTTAATGTTATGTTTTAGCCTGCCCGATCCTGAACTTGGTTTAAATCGACCAGTCGAATTTGGACTTCGCTTTGCCGAAGAAGAAATCAAAGCGACTGCGCGAAATAAAACAAATAATCGCGTTTATCCTGCTGAATTTAAATATGTTACAGCTGGCTAGATGTCACTTTTTCCCGCTAGATTAGTCAGCTCATATGACTTGTATTAGTACATTTTATAATACCGATACGTAGTGTAAAAATAAATACATTGTTATATCTGTAGTTTCAAGATACTCTGTTGTTATATTTGGTTTAACTTTTTCATATCTCTAATTTTAACCGGCTTTGATAAACAATATTGTCGACTGGCTGAGCTTTTTGTTAGTTTGCAAGTATATAATCACGTAAAAATACCTATCTGTTAGTGATTCAAAGCCAGATTTAAGCGTAACCGTAATTTTGTATTTGTGTCAGATTTGTTTTGCATCCTTTATTGGTTCTCGTATCTAAATTTAGAGTGCACATCAAAAATCTGTACCAGATTTTATCGATCATTAGCGTTAGTCGGATGTGGTGTTTGATCACCAGCCCCCGGATTATTAGTCACAGTAAATTTTATATATTTATTTATTGACCAATCGTTTTTCAGCATAAAATTAAGCACAAGAAATAAGTGTTAAAGAAAGAATGCATTAAGATCATATTAAATAGTATATTGTTTGTAAGGTTAAGAATGGAATGTTTAAAGCTTCACTCAAGCCACTCAATAACTCATCCAATAACTCAATGTAATATATAAAGATAATTTTGTATCTTTGAATTATTTATTGAGACAATTAAAAAGAATCACAAGAATAATGATTCAAATTTTTCTATTGCTCTTAATAAGTTTACTAAGTAATACAACACAATAAAACCATATTCAATTTATAATTAATATTTTTTCTCTATAATATCAATTCTTATATTTATATTAAGAGTGATGCAAAACTTTATATACAAATTAAATCAGTAAAATACTGAAAAACAACAGAATCTAGCAATACAAAAAGAAAACTTTCTAATTATATTAAAAAAATAAAAAAAAAATAATCTAGATCAAAATATTAATAAAAATTAATTAAATTTATGAATTTATATAATATTTTAAATATTATATTAGCTTGTTATTATTATTATTTGACTATTATCTCATTAAAATAATTTATTTGTAAATACATAGAATAAATTATTTGCATAATAATAAAATTGTCTATTACACATCCCTATAGTATATTACCAGAAATAAATTTGTCATTTGATACCCAATATCTCGACATCCAGTGATCTCATTTGAACAAAAAATATTACCATTATATTTGTCTCGACTATACGAATCTAATGGTGTATTTTTTGTTCAAATGAGGTCACTGGATGTCGAGATATTGGGTACCAAAGTGACAAATTCATTTTTGAAATTTCTGGTAATATACTATAGGAATGTGTAATTATTCTGATCAATAATATCTTCATCAACAATGATTATAATATATTAATTATTTTACAATTGATTATTATAAATATATAGATTTCTATTTAACACCTCTAGACTAATGACTCTTTCCCTTTTTGCTAATTCGACATTATTAATCATAATCTGGCAAATTCAGAAATGTTTTGGTACTGCAATATTGCATGTGCCATTGTTGGATTTACTTATTTTGACTTGAAGTGTCTTGGGCAAGTTATTGAGTGAGTCATTGTGCGATTCACTTACTTTGGTTTGAAGTGTGTTGAACGAATTATTGAGCAAGCCATTGTGAGCTTCACTTATTTTGGCTTGAAATGTGTTGAGTGAGTTATTGGATGAGTTATTGGACGAGTTATTGTGGGATTTGGCTTGATTTATATTGAACGAGTTATTGTGATGACATTTTTTGACAAGATTATGAAATCGAGTGAAGCTTTAAACATTCTTAATCTCACAAAAAATACATTATTTAATATAATTTTAATGCATTCTTTCTTTAACACTTACTATTTCTTGTGCTTAATTTTTGCTGAAAGACGATTGGCCAATAAATACATCATACATCTGACTAATGATCGATAACACCTGGCACAGATTTCTGATGTGCGCTTTCTAACTTCAATGCTTTTCTGAATTCTAATGTTACTAAAACAACATATGTTTAAAATTGAGGAAGAAAGAAGTTTTATTTTTAATTAATCTTGAAGTTTAGTGCCTCACTTTGAAAATGTAGTAATTATTTACCGACGTTTGTCCATAGCTTTAAAGCTCTGTTTTTAATTTGCTTTGAACTCAGCACTAATAAGAATAAAAATACTAATCAGTATTAAAATTCTGATAATATGTTACGTTTCTTATATTATTACAACAAATAAATGATTAAAATCTTTTGAGACTTAAAATTGGTGAAGTTGTCAAAAAAGTTATCGTTCCTGCGATTAAATCAGCAATGCTGATACAGTCTGATTTTCCCCTAAGATTAGGATAACACAAACAATATAAGCATTCTCTTCAGAATAAAAACATGAATCACACCCTGACTGACAAAGAAATTGTCAACGCGTTTAATCAGACCAAAAAAGGTAAACAAGCAATTAACGTATGTTTATTGGGAGAATAGTTAGAAGTTGTTCCAGCAGTGTTAAGAACAAGCAAATGTGCTGGTGCTGTTCATTCCATCTCGTTTACCATCCACCATCCCTTTGGGAAATGTTTGTTATACTGTTTGTGGCTTGTGCATTTTCGCACGTATCCATTTCCACGCCTCATGCAATAAAGTACAATTTTTAAAAGGACACGTGAGAATATTGCTAAAATTGTTGTCCGTGCATTTGAGAGCGAATATAAGGTTTAAAGGTTTTTTTAGAAGTGTGCGAAAGGGAATGGCATGAACATAAAGAACTTTACCATACTGTATCAGGAATTTGGAAAGAAGAAATTAGGGAACTTCTATATCAATATGAATGATCCTAGATTTGGTTCTTATCTATAAAGACAATTAAGGTAATGTGTCTCGAATCAATATTGGTGAACGCTGCAATACAAACATTTTTAGATGACTCGCTTCTAGGAAACACATTGGACGTATTGGTTAATGCAATGGGAATAATTGATAGTGGTTCACGAAGTGGATTAGTTGTGCAGATTTGTTAACGTTGACGAAAGGTTTTGTTCTGCGCTGACAGATTGCAACCGGTTGCAACATAAAATCAGGTCCACCTTATTTTACGGTTTAAAGTACCCTTCAACTTTTAAGAGAGGTTTTTGTAAAGTGTCCCTGATCTTAATATATTTATTAATACTAAATCACATACCCGGAGTACTTTAAACCGTAAAATACGATCATTTTTTAATTATGCTGAAAGTCAACTACGTATTACAGTGCTGAGAGTGGATCTACTAATATGAGATTCCTGGATAGGGAGCAAGTGAATTTTCACTTGCTGACCGTAATATAATATTACAACGTTACGGGGCTGCAACACGTGTTGCAACTACATGTATTAATACAAATTGAAGGTTCCATTACGGTATTACAACAATTCGTAATGTTGTGATGTCGCAATATATTATAATGTCCTAATACTTGCATGCTGTAATGTCATAATGTAATATTGGCATTGACAACATACAAGTCACTCTCGTTTAATTAAACAACTTGAGTTCAAAACAAATCTTTTTATATAGTGAATTTATTAATAAACTCTGGATATAGTGAACTTTCTTCTAATAGCCCGGACACATTCACTATAACGAAAGTGAGTTGTATACAACAATGATAATAAAAAGACGCCTAATTCAATCATAGAAAATTCAATTCTATATTACATGCCAAACCAAATATGATATCATTCTACGATATTTTACCTTTTAGCCGAGTTATGGGAGGTTGGTTACTTCTGACGAGCACTGTGTATGCTGTTTATCCAATACTTTATTTAAATCGCCGAGTAAAACTAGCTAATGTCAAGAATACAAAGAAGAGTATGTTTCAAAGCACAGGCGTTAACAAGAATCAAGCAACGCAAACAACGTGACCAACGCGGAGCTTTCACACCAATAAAACATCACTGGAATTTAGTACCAAAACTCTCATTTAACAAAAAATCAATTTTTAACCAAAACCACGCATAAAGTTATATCAATATTCATACTATAAAAATAGAAAAAAAACGATAACTAATGAAATAAAACTAATAGACTAACAATTTGTGTTAGTGATTACACACATGAAAACTCATAATAATTAAGAATCGTTTTTTCTAAGTCTGCTCCATATAGTTTTAAACACACCCGCATTTTTTTTTTGTCTGACTAAAATTTGAGCTTTACAATAAACACGTCGATTTTTATCATCATCAAGATCTATACCTATCGCGGGAAAATAACAAAAATCAACCACTTGATTCTGGCTAGCCTCTATATCCCAAGGTCCCTGCATAAACCCGCCACAGATACTCTCTTCACTTTCGATCCATCTTATTTCTGGGATCGGCTCTTGAGCAAACAATCGAAAATATAAACGCATTAACTCAACTACAACCTCGGTAACTTGGGTTTTTAAAATATTTCTTTGTTCCTTAAAAAGTACTTCGCGATATTTTCCCATTTTCTGCAGTAATTCTTCCGTGAGCGAATTAACTTTCGGATGATGATTGCTGTAACCACGTGATCCTAACGAAGCGAATACTTGTTGCCGAATTTTTGTTGGTGCAATAATTGTGATTTCATCGTCACCGGGACGATTAGTGGCTAACTTCCTCATAAAAAAATCTAATTCTCTAAAGTGGTAGGAAACATTTGCTTCGAGATTTTCATCAAAGTTTGAAACTGCGTTGTTAATATCGGAAGGTAAAGCTTTAATAACGTCAAAGACTCTATCGATGATTATACGCTGTAAAGCACTACTCAATGCCGTTTTGTAAGGTCCTTCCTCCGTAATATTTATAATTTTGAATTCCCTAAAAAGATCTAGGCTAGCTGACTCGTCGATACGTATTTGATGTTTTGGTTTCACTTTTGTTACATTATTCAATAAAGCATGTATTCTGTCAATATCTTTTGTTAGCTGCAATGGATTACTTGTGTCGTCGTTATTCCATTGAAGATCTCTTACACCACCAAGTGCCGATTGCAATCGTGACGCTTCTTCTTTCGCAGATTTGGTTTCATGCGTTAGGGCATCAATTCGCTTTTGGTTTAGCGAATTTTCGTATTGTAAATTTTTTAATTCTGACAAAGTGATTTGCCGTTCATCTTCTAATTCTTGAATTCTCACACGTGATTCTTGTAATTCTGTTTCATATTCGGCTTGCAATCGTGACACTTTTTCTTTCGCAGATTTGGTTTCATGCGTTAGGGCATCAATTCGCTTTTGGTTTAGCGAATTTTCGTATTGTAAATTTTTTAATTCTGACAAAGTGATTTGCCGTTCATCTTCTAATTCTTGAATTCTCACACGTGATTCTTGTAATCCTGTTTCATACTTGGATTTGAGATTTTGCAATCGTGACGCTTCTTCTTTCGCAGATTTGATTTCATGCGTTAGGAAATCAATTTTGTTTTGCTGTTGCGAATTGCCGTATTTTAAATTGCTTAATTCTGGCAAAGTGATTTGCCGTTCATCTTCTAATTCTTGAATTAGCCCACGTGATTCTTGTAATTCTGTTTCATACTTGGATTTGAGATTTTGCAACCGTAACGTTTCTTCTTTCGCAGATTTGGTTTCATCTGTTAGGGCATCAATTTTGTTTTGCTTTAGTGAATTTTCGTATTGTAGGTTGTTTAATTCTGACGAAGTGATTTGCCGTTCATTTTCTAATTCCTGAATTCTATCACGTGATTCATATAATTCTGTTTCATACTTGGATTTGAGATTTTGCAATCGTGACGTTTCTTCTTTCGCAGATTTGGTTTCATGGGTTAGGGTGCCTAATTCCTCTTCTAATTTTTGAATTTTCTTACGTGATTCATATAATTCTGTTTCATACTTGGATTTGAGATTTTCCACTTGTGAATGATGATGGTCCTTTAGTTTATAACAATCGATAATTTTTTGTTTTTGAGACTCGATTTCTGATTTGACTTGTATGATAATTTTTTGTTTTTCGTCATTTGTGAATTTTTGCTTTTCAAACTCAAATGCATCATGATATTTTTTTTCAGTTTCATTTTTGAAATTGAAAACTTCGATTTCATATTTTTCTTTGAGCTTTTTTAACTCGTTATTGAGTTTGGCATTTTCTTTTTCTGCGGTAGTGATGCGTTGGATCATCGTCATGCGTCTAAATAATTCAGATTGTTTTCCGCCAAAAAAATCCGTCATCCCTTTTAGTTTATGATAAATAATCGACCGCACACTCGATCGCTCTTCAATTGACATATTTCTCAAAATTGATATTAATTGTTGACCATCATCATGAGAAATATTAAAAGGGATAAAAATCTTTTCTACTATTTGTTTTGGAATAGTATCTTCAGATGATCTATGCCATTCGCGGTATCCATTCATTAAATCAGTACAGTATTGCTGCGCCTTTGTTATTCCGATTCTATCGAAATAATTAATGGTAGCCATCACGTCATGCCATTCGTCTTTTATCAAGTTTCGCTGTTGGCTATTGATTGGCTCCACAATGGATACTAAAAGGATTTTTAAGATATCAGAATCGAATGTCGTCGCTGTTAACCACTTGAAAACTTCGTATTTTTTATGATTTACGACGAGACTATATGTTAAAGGTACTTTAGGTTTAGCAGCTGATTTTGGAACATTATTTTTTCTACTTTGGTTTTGCTGCAAATTTGCATTTTCATTTGAGTTTTCTTCGTAATGCATTTTCAGAAGATAACCTGAGATTCAAAGAAAATCAATAAATCGATGAAGTTCAGTGAGTAATCATTAAAAATATTATTTATTATCAGCAATTCACTTTATTATATCTTTTGATCGAACAATCAAGTATATATAACTGACGTGGGAATTGAATTCATAGGCAAACCAGGAAAATCATGTGGGAAAATTTAAAGCAAAGGAAGATTCCTTTTTATGCATAGGCAGGAAAATCATGTGGCTTAATTATTATGCGATCCATAAACATCTTTTAAGGGAGAATAATAATTTGATCCAGCTGACTCTTTTGCTCTTTTATTTTGTGTCAATTATACCAAACCACTTGCTTAGCAATCCGCTTTTTCCGTTTTATGTTTGGGAAGTACAGTTAAGGCTTTTATAATGATCCCTTTTACGAAACCTTTTGAAATATCGTCTAATAAGAAAGTCCATTCTGTTATAACGAAGTTCATAATTAGGGTTCAATATTATGATATTTCTATCTGTATCGGTATAGGTTTGACTGGATTTACTTATATTGTTATGTTTTAATCGAATAATTGAGACCTTTAACAATCAATATCTAAATAGTCAAGTTGTTTTTATACACGACTTTCGATATAACGACATGCAGATCCTATTGTAAACAATATAAATTCAATAGAATCTGCACTTTGTTATATCGAAAGTCGACTGTAACACCTAAGTTTGCTTGACTGAGAAGTTAGCCATAACTGATGTGGGAAACTAAAGGCAAGGCAAAGGCGATTCATAGGAAAAACAGGATAACCATGTGTTTTTACTGTTATATGATCTTTTAAAGCGAACTATCATTTTAATTAGGACATAATTATCTGCTCTTTTGCTTTTAATTTTTCTGTTAATAAGAATTGAAATTGATCAAATTTGCTTCTTCTTGGTACTATCCATCATGAACGTTGAAGATTTGCGTGTAGTTGTTGCTGTTGATTTTGGCACGACATATAGTGGTATTTATGCTCTATCAAGTCTAGAGAAATTTACTCTAAATAGAATTGGATAATGCTAACTAATGCACTTGTACAGGATTCGCTTACTCGCATATGAAAAATCCAAATGTCAAGGTTCACAGTTCGTTTCCAGGACATTTCTCGCCCAAAACTAACACCGTTTTGCAATATGATAATAAATGGAAAGTAGATTGTTGGGGCTATGCGGCACTTGCTAGAGAGCCGTCAAAGAAAAAAAAGTCTCGAGTTACCGATTCTCGTCCTGTTGAGCTATTTAAACTGCATTTAGCTGATATCGACCACTTCAAAAAGCCGAAACTGCCAACTGAAATCGATTATAAAACTGCAATCGCCGATTTTCTTAAAGAAATGGAAAAGGCGAATAATCATTCATTATTGTTAATTGTTCTTTAAATCGATATTTATTTAAACTTTATTTTATAGTTAATCAAGGAAACTTTATTTTCACGTTGGTCTGAATTGACTTATTCGCAAATTCGATTTGTGTTTTCTGTTCCTGCGGAATGGGTAAAATGACTTTTTTTACTTCTATTTCGAATCTTCTTTTTTTTATTTTGGCTAATTTTTCAGTAAAAATAAAGGGGCCGCAAACTCGTGGGATTATGAGAGAATGCATTTACCATGCTGGTTATTTGGAGACTAAAAACTCGTATAATTTAGAATTTATTTCTGAACGTATGTATTGAAAAATCTTTGACCTTTTTCGTTTAATGAATGATCGTTCAACTATGCATATTTAAAAATTTAGCGGAAGCTGCAGCAATCTTTTGCATGCAAATCATGAAAGAGCATGGATTAACTGTTGGAGGCAAGTTTCAAAATCACATGATTTTGATCACATGGATATATCTAACCAAGAGGCTGATTATTTTACTAGACTCGTTTATGGTTTGTGATTGTGGTGGCGGCACAGTAGATTTGACAACTCGTACCCTTTTACCTAATAATCAACTTGGCGAAATTACTGAACGAACCGGCGACTTATGCGGGAGCACTTTTGTTGATGAAGAATTCTTTCTATTTCTTAGTCGTCGTTTAGGTTTTAACGCAATGCAAGAATTCAGAGAAAAGCACTATGGTCAATATCAATACTTGATTCTAAAATTCTTTTGTCCTCAAATCAAATTCCAGTTCCGAAATGACGCGTTAAAATTTCAGCCAATAGAACTTGACATCGAAAGGGAATGTCCCGCTTTGATAGACTATATTGACGAAGACATTCAAGAACAAATGAGGGAAGAAGAATGGATAATAGAGTTCCAATATAATGATGTCAAATCGATGTTTGATCCTGTTGTAGAACGAATTATTCGATTGATTCGAAATCAATTGAATGCATCTCAGCAACAAAAATGTTCGGCAATATTTGTTGTCGGTGGGTTTGCTGAAAGTGGATATCTTATTTCTCGTATCAGAAAAGCTTTTAGTAGTGAAATCCGAACAATTGCTGTACCTCAACAACCAATTACCGCTGTTGTGATTGGAGCTGTTCGATACGTAAGTACAAGTATAAAGAGTTTATATTTAAAAGTTATTTTTTAGTAAGGTAGATTTCTTTTTTATTGATTTTAGGGTTTAAATAAAAAAGTTATCAAAACACGTAAAGTTCCATTGACTTATGGTGTCGAAGTTTGTCCCATTTGGAAAGATGGCGACGAAAAAAAACGAAAAACTCACGCTGGCCGTATTCTTAAATTCGCTGAACTAGCAAAACGCGGCACCGAATCGCCACCAGATCAAATGTTTTCGGACGATTTCGTCCCAATATACGAAGACCAAAAGCGTATTACATTCAAAATTTTCTCAACAGAGAAATTTGAAGCACAATTTTGTGATGAGCCTGGAGTGAACCAAGTTGGCATATTGACTATAAAGTAAATAAAATAAATATTTTTAATTCTTTATTTTCAATATCAATTGATGATTTCTTTTTAAAAAAGATTAGGAAACGAGGAGCTTGGACTAAGAAGACCAGTTGAGTTTGGTTTAACGTTTGCAGAAGAAGAAATCCGAGCTACTGCGTGGAACAAAGTCACAGGAGAAATTTTTGAAGCGTCATTTGAGTATACATACGATGACTAAATCCATTATTTAGCGAATCTGCTTTTGTCTAATACATGATGTATCGTTAAGAATATCTTTTATATGCAATGATTACTATTCACGGTTTCAGAGATTTCATTGGTGGAGAATGGGTGTACCTTACTCGGGTACTATAAGAAGATATACTGTATGCAGTAAAACATCCTAGTCTATATAAAGAAATATCATCGTTTAGCGAAATGGTTTGTGTGTAATTCAGATACATGTAATTCTTTAGAAATTTCAATTTCAGTTGGTACTAATGAAAGAGCAAAGACTCGGTTGAGAAGGAAATATGCAAAGAAAAATCCTACCTTACTGTCTTATAAAATGTAAGACCAAGACTGTGATCTCAATGCATGTACATGTAATATGTTCTTGTTAATCATCACTGCATGGTGAATAACAAGCATTAATGTTATCGAAATTGTTTTATCAATGTTGCAACTAATATTTTCGGACAAATCAAGTACATGTATCAGGTTACCCAACACCTCATCGGAAAAAGTTACCGAACAGAAATACGTAATTGATAGGGGTTTGCTTATTCCATATAGATAGGCAGTAAATTCTGATTATTCTTGTTATGACAATAATAATGGATCATTTTTCTTTCCATTGAGTATACTCAATTAATGCAGGTTTGACTGGTTTTGTAGATACAATCGCAATACAGGTACATGTATAGCGCATACATGTACGTGTAACGCATTTTAATTCAGATGATCAGATGATCATACGTATTAACTTTTTATAAATAAAGGCGAAGCAGGTTGTGTTTGAAAAACCAAAAGATTTTTAGACGATAAAAACTTTATATTAATAATAAGGATAAATAATTGATGAGAAGAATGTTATTCCCTGAAAAATCAAAGAAAAAACTTATGAAATTTATCTTGATCCGCTTTATTCTATTTGTAATTCTAAGCGGATTGGTTGCGAGCGCTGATACTAATGCTGATGTTGTTGGTTGTAAATCACCGATATATTGTCCGAGCGAATTGTTGGCGACAATTCAATTGGCACATTTATTTAACGATTCAAAGACATTTGTAGATATGGTAATAATTATGAATAAATTAAAAAATTGAATTGAACTAATAAAATTCAAATCTAAAAATAAACAGCCCACAAAAAAACCAATACACGAAATTCTCCAAGCTTTTTCAGAACTACCATCTCCCCATACTCAAACATCTCTTCGCGATTTCATTGATACGTATTTCAGTTCACCCGACCTATCGCTCATATCTACCACTTTTCCCAACTTCAATCCATCACCGATATTTCTCGAAAAAATCCAGGATAATACATTACGAGCTTTTGCGAGTATAATCAACAATTATTGGCCGGATTTATCGAGACGCGTTGTAAAAGATAGTAGTTTATGCAAAGGATGTGCTAGCAGTATGATCCCAGTTAAGCATACTTTTATTGTCCCAGGTGGTAGATTTAGAGAATTTTATTATTGGGATTCTTATTTTATCTTAGAAGGGTTGTTGGTTAGTGGGTATTTTCATATTGCAAGAGAAATTATCGAGAATTTTTTGCAGATGATAGAGGAATTTGGTTTTATGCGCAAGTATTATTTTTGATACTAATTAATTCTGTATTGAAATTTACATAAAATTGATTCTGACTTTATTACATGTTCTCTCTTCAGCAAATGGCAATAGAATCTATTATTTGAATCGATCGATGCCTCCACTCTTGACTCAAATGGTTAAAATTTATTATAAAGCAACAAATGATTTTGATCTGGTGAAATTTGCGTTACCGAATCTACTAAAAGAATACGAATTCTGGCAAAAAAACACTACAGTCCACATTGCCACTAAAAATTATTCTTCAAAGAAACAACACGTCCTAAATCGATATATAGTCCACAACTCGGATCCCAGACCAGAAAGTTTTCTGGAAGATTACACCACCGCAACGAACGCTATTTGGTTAAACGCATCAGGGAAAGCAAACCTATATGCAGATATAGCCACTGCAGCTGAATCCGGGTGGGATTTCTCATCACGTTGGATTCGCGCCGAGAAACTGTCAGAACACCTTCAAGACACTTCTACTAGCGAACCGAATAATTATGCGCTACTTCAGAATTTAAATACTAGATCGGTGGTGCCAGTCGAGTTAAATTCCATTTTGTATATGAATGAGATTGCGTTGGCGGATTTCAATGTGGCAGTTGGTAATCTAAAATTAGCAAAATCTTTTAGAAAGCGAGCTAAAGAAAGACGTGAAGGGATTGTAGATATTTTTTGGGATAAAAATAGGTCAAGTTTTTGGGACTATAACTTAACGAGTGGAGTGCATACATCCGTTGCTTCTTTAGCTGCATTTTTTCCATTTTGGTAAGTGATTATCGTTATCTACATTTTTTCCATTTTGGTAATTAGTATTTCTTAAATACTGATTTGTTAATTGTTTTAAAGGGCAGGCATTTATCCAACCGAGATTACAAACAATTTAACAGCAGCAAAAGAATCGTTCAAACTAATAAAAAATTTTCTCGAGAAGTATCCAGGATCACTTCCCGCTACAGAAATTAATACCGGACTCCAATGGGATTTTCCAAATGCGTGGCCGCCATTACAATATGTTGTTATCCAAGCTTTGTTTAATGTAGAGAAATTGTATAATGGTAATGATAATGATAATACATTCGGAGAACTTGCGCATACAGTTGCATATCGTTTCGTTTCATCGGTTTTATGCGCTTGGCTAAAAACTGGTGGTAAGATTCACACCAGCAACTTTTCTACAACAAGAAAGAATTCCATGGAAGATGCGGGTCATATATTCGAAAGTAAGAAAAATCATATTCTCAATCAAAAAATATTTGAATAAAATTTTCGATATTTTTTAAATAGAATATAATGCCACGAATTTGATGATGCCTGGAGGCGGTGGCGAATACGTAGTGCAAACAGGGTTTGGGTGGACTAATGGAGTCATGTTGTGGATTTTGGAGAAGTTTGGTGGGGTACTACAAGAGCCGGAGTGTTACCATAACGCAATGTAATACGTATGGTGCGGCACATCAAGTAATTTAATGTAACTTTGTGTCATACAGATTTGGTAATTTTGGCAAGCTAAACCGTTATACACTTTCTTAAGTTTTACTAATAAATATTCATAACGATAATTCGGTAATAATGCTGGCATGGTTTTGATCTTCCAAAAATTAATTTATAATGCCAAGCAAAATTAATGGAATCACGAAAAGTTTTATAAAAAGTCAGCATCCATTCAATACTTATGGTATTTATATTCATTTCAAAGCTAATAACCTAACAAATTTATAAAAATATTAGTATTACAATTTTAGGAAAACTAAGTTTCTACACAGGATTTCTAATTAGTAAAAGTTTAACGCTGAAATATCTTTTTCCCAAGACAAATCCATCAACGTTAATAACAAATGTTCTCTATAAAATCTAAATTGGTGCGTTGGTGATCGAGATATGAGTCAACGTTACACATGTAAAAAATAGTTGAATTACGTACGTAATTTGCTAATTGAAATTTCAAAATTCGGTCAATAGATAGTTTTTATAGAGAACATTTTTTATTAATGAATTTTCCAAAATTTGTCTTGGGAAAAATATCTAATAATAATTTTATACATTTTTAGGAATATTCTCTAGGTTATTAGCTTTAAATGAATATAAAGACCATAAATATTGGATGTATGCTGAAGACACTAGATTTTTTTTCATAAAACTTATCGTGGTTCCATAATTTTGAGAGTCACTTATATAAACTTTTGGACTTCGATCAATCAAATACCAAATTTCTAATGACATAACCTTTAAAAATGCGCTGCACCATACAATCTGAAAATTTGATTTGATCAAGAAAGTTTATTATCATCATCTAAATTTGTTAATTTACTATGAAGAACTCACATTTTGTTATAAAATCTATTTCAATAATTTCGATTATATATACAATATACCATTACATAATCAATTTGGATAATATAGCAATAGATAATATAGAATATTTAATCAAATTCAGTGATGATTACAACAGAAAAAATGAAATATTGTTATAAAAATAAACAAGTAATTAATGCATGTTTAGTATATAAATAATTGGAAAGCTTATCCATTCATTTATTTTATTTATCCATTTTTTTCTGATATTTAGATTTGAAAAATATAGTAAATACAGATTTATATGAAAACAAAAAAGGAAAAATATTTTTGATAAAATATTTTTTCAAGCTCTAAATAAGTATTTACATAAATATAAAATAATAAATAACTATTATATTCCATATTTTATTTTGATTTCTTCTTGGTATATTTATACTTTATTAATTATTTTCATACTTTAAATAATCTTGACTTTAATAATATATTATCTAAAATTATTTAAATTTCTTTTTGATATATTAATTGATATTTAGATTTTTTCAAGAACTAATTTTATATTATTTTTAAGTTTTACTTATTATTATATAATTATATAATTATTTAATTATTATATTTAAATATTAAAAAGTTATAACTTTTCAAAATTATTTTTCAAATTATTTTTTATTATTATATTTGTTAAAAAATATTATATTTTTATTTATATATTTAATTTTAATAATTTTATGATTTTATTATATAAGTTAAGTTTAACTTTAATCAATTATTTTGATTATTATATTATATATATAAGCTTTATTATTTATTATACTTTATAAATTTTAATATAATTTAGTAAAAATATTAATAATAAATAAGTATCAAAGATTTATAATATTATTTTTAGTTAGTAAAAATTATATTTTTAGCAATAATAATTAAAAAATTATTAATTATATTTAGAAATTATTTTAATTTACTATTTATATTAAATATTTATAGTATTAAATTTTATCAAATTTTAATTTAAAAAATTGTTATTATTAATATAAGTAAAGTTCTAGTATTAAAAATTAAATTAATAAACTTTTACTTTATATTAAGTCAACTTAGTTCTGATTTTTTGTTCAATTATTTCAATATTTTTTTGATAATCTTTTATTTTAATTAAATAAATTTATATTTAACTTTAAATATTTTAAAATATTGTTTTGAAAAAATTTGAATTAGTTATTTAAATATAATATAATATAAATTAAATTAAATTAAATAACTAGAATAAATAAATAATTTTATTTTTTAAATTTTGTTTGATATAAAAATAAGTTTTATAATTTGAATTTCTAAAAATAAAATAATTATAAAAATTAATATATTTAATTTAGCTCTAGTATTATAATAATATTAAAATTTGTTAGTTTTATTTTTTTATTTTCAACTAAATATTTATAAAAATAAAGAGTTAAGTTAATAATATTTGAAAAATAATTTATTATATTGAATTTAATACTTATAAAATAATTAATATTAAATTAAAATTTAATTTAATTATTATTATTTTAATTATAAATTTAAAATTATTTGAATTATATAATTTATTATAATTTATTATAATTTTAAAATAAGTATTTAATTTTATTATAGTTATAACAAATTAAATATTAATTATTATTATTACAAAATAATTTTGGTTATTATTTTTATACTAATATAAAATATTTTTGAATATTTTTAAATTTTTAATTTATTGATTAAATATTAAAGCATTATTATAAGCTAAATAAGATTAATAATAATTTTGTTTTAAATTTTAATTATATTAATAATATTAAAAAGTATTTTATTAATATATATTTATTTATATATTTTTAATTTATTATATAATATAATTAAATTTTTCTATAATTATTATTTTCAATTTGATAACTATAGAAAAATTTTTTATTATATTTATATATAAATAAAAAAGTAAATATAAAGAAAAATAACTATAAATAAATATATTTATAAAAGATTTAACTATATATATATTTATAAATCTTTTTATTATAAAATATAATATTTAAAATTATCAAATATTTGTATTTTATAAAATATATAAATTTTTTAACTAAAATATAATTCAAATTTTAATTCACAAATATGATTCAGTACAAAAATGTTGATATACAAAAAATAAAAGTTAATAATTATTTCTAATAAAAGTTGTATAAAATATAGTTAATATTTATAATTTTTTTATATCAAGTAAAATATATCTTAATATTAATTTTTTATATTATTTTTAATATTTTTATACTTTTATTTAAGAATAAATAAAGCAAAACTTTTTACTTTTAAATAATAAAATTTGTAAATTTAAAAATTTAAAAATAATTTTTAGATATTATTATTATGAATTTTTATTTTTAGAAATTATACTTAGCAAGTATATTAATATATATATATATATATATATATAATTCAAATTTTAACAAAATTGGAATATTAATTATAAAGTAATTTGATATAGTCTAATATAAAAATATAAATATATTACTTTGTTATTAATATATTTATATAATTTTTTATTATATATAAATAAAAATAAAAAATTTTATTAATTAATAACTTTCAATTTGATTATTTTAATTTTTTTATATAAAAATTTATAAAAATTTATATTATAAAAAAATTAAATTTTTAAATTTTAACGCTTAATTTTTTAATAACCAATAATATAATTTTGCTTAAAATTTAAAATATATATTTATTATATATATATATTAATGTACTTGCTAAATATAAATTTCTAAAAAATAAAAATTTATAATAATAATACCTAAAAATTATTTTTAAATTTTAAAATTTATAAATTTTATTATTCAAAAGTAAAAAGTTTTGCCTTATTTATTCTTAAATAAAATACTAAAAATAATATAAAAATTATATTAAAATATGTTTTACTTAATATAAAAAATTATAAATATTAATTATATTTTGTAAGATTTTTATTAAAAGTAATTATTAACTTTTATTTTTTATATATCAACATTTTTGTGCCAAACTATATGATAAAATAAGTTTTTTATTATATTTTTCAGATTAAATTTTGAATTTATTTTCTAATTAAGAAGTTTATATATTTTATAAAATATAAATATTTGATAATTTTAGATTATCAGTCAAGAGACATGTCCCTTTACATGGGTTCAAAATGTTATAATTAATATCATTGACATGTCGATCACTCGATTTTTATATGAAATTTTCTTCTCGCGCAACATCACCTTTATGATACCCCTATATTTGTGTAATGTTCTTGCCATCGCTATCTAAATTTAAAATACACCCGTGACATTTCTCTACTGAACTAAATAAACCTTGACTTCCGCTCTTCTTTAGCTTGGAGAAAATCTTTATTTGAAGATGGTCTATTCTAGCCCCTGTAATAAACAGTTTACTTGTCAATATTATTTTAACGCAACCTTTTACAACTAGTTTCTTTCTCCAGACTGTACACCTCAATGATCCTTTACGAACCTCATAAAATAAACTCTTTTTTAATTATTATCATAGCAAAAATTTGTGACAACGTCACCTAATTTCTGTATGAAGTTCAACCTTACATTTACACTCTTCTCATATACAAAAGTTCTCTCACTTCACGTTTACACGTTTCAAATTGGCTGCTAGCAGGTTTCCGATGTGTTAAGGTTTGTTTGGAATGTTATTGAGAAAAACGGATGGGTTGGTTATAGTAACGGACGGGTTGGTTATAGTAACGGACGGGTTGATTATAGTAACAGACAAGAATATAAGATTTGAGGTGATATCATGTATATACTCTTTAATATTGTAACGTAGCCAATAAACCGTAGCTTTGAGTTTTAGCAACAGACAATAATCTGATTCTCTTTTTAATTTGCAAGAGTTCGTAATTAAGTTTTCTAAAAAATTCATTCATCTTTAGTGAACTTCTTCTATGACTGATAATATGAAACTCAAAGGAATAAAGTATTCGCAAAGTTTGACAGTACGATAAAAGGGATGATGATAAAAGACCATCCTAGAAGCTAGCATGCAATCACAATTCTGATGAAGGGAACTTAGGGAAGTTTATTGAGCAGACGTTTGTTTCATCAGATTTAATATCCTTCCCCACGGACATTCCTTTGACGGT